GGTGGGGGGCCGTCCGAGACTGAGACCTGCTTCCTCGCTGCCCCTGAGCGGAGCCTCGGCCGCCACAGGTGAGTGTGCGCCCTCGGAGGGGGCTCGGGCGGCCGCGCCGAGAGCCCGCCGCCAGCCTGCCCGTGCCTGCGCCCACGTCGTGGGTCCTCGCTCTGGTCGCTGACACCTGTGGCCCAGGTGACGGTCCTCCTCCCTGACGCAGCCTATCCAGCGGGGTTCGGGGGCTTGTGCCGACCCCACCTCCCGGCCCCCGTCCTGAGTGCAGCGTCCGTCTGACAGGACCTGCTGTGCCCCTCCACCCCCGAGCCGTCCGGAACCACCCCACCTCCCGCCGCGAGACCACGCAAGCTAGGCTTGGGGAGGGCAGCTTGCCTCCGTATAGTTTGGTTAGTTGGAGTGATGGTATTGTTTTTTAATGTAGATTATTCTCGGACTGGTTTCGTGTAGAGTAGGTACCCTTTAGAAAACTGTGTCCCTTGAAACCTGTGTTTTAGAGAGTATATGGTGAGAGAGAGAGAGAGAGACAGACAGACAGAAAAGCCCGGATCCTTCAGTGCCTTACCATGGGTCATCTCGGGCTTTGTGCCGTCAAAATACGTACTTTCCTCTTGTAACTGCGAATGCTGCTTTCATAGGAGTTACTCTCAGCCGCCCCGGGTTGCCGCCCCTTCTCTGCTGAACGCACTCATTTATGGGATCTTTGGAGCAGACTTTTTAGTTACTTTTGAAAGCATTCTATATGTTCTAGAATGTGTGCGATGGATGTTTGCCGCCCGTCACAGTGATAAGAACCTAAGGGGTCAGTCTTGTTAGCGTTCTTTCCGGCCAAAATATTTCAAGATGACGCCCCATTTTCTTTCCCAAAAGAGATGGTCTTGTAATCAGTGAGTTCTTAGGACCAAGAAATAGCATCAGAACTCTTTGTCTTGTAGTGATATTAATAACTTGGTAAATAACATGCGGTTAAAAAGAGGGGGGAGCACTGCTGATCACCTTTCCAACATTTCTAGCCCCTGAAATGCTATAAAACGCTCTTTTGTGGCGTTGGTTATTGGAGAAGCTTTTACATTTAACACCAGGAAAACTATGTGACATACATGGAAGCCTACTTCTTGTTTTGAAACTAGTGTTACAATTTGACAAATATAGAGGGTTGCAGAATTATATAGACTACTGTATTAATATTGAAATGATATTTAAAACTTTTAATTTTTTAAGCAACTTGTTTATAAAAGTGGATCAAGTTTGTATGGTCGAAGTCAACAACAGTCTAAATAGATACTGCTTGGGGTGTATAGCAATAGAACTTTAATGTGGCTTTTAATTTACATTTTTTAAAAACAGTCTTATTCGCACTTCATCCACATCATACAATTCAATACTTCAACCACATAAAAAAGTTATACCATTGTCCCCATATTCACTTCTAGAACATCTTCCTCCCTATAGTCATTGTTATTCATATTTTTTAATAGTGGCAAAAATATACACAACAGAAGGTTCTCCAATTCCACAACCTCTATTTGTCTAATTCAGTGTCATTGATTATACTCTGTGTTTTATAACCGTCATTGGTATCCTTTTCCAAATTATTCTCCCACCATTGAGGTGAACTCAATGCCCCCTATGCAGCAGCTCTTTCCCCTTCACCTATGGTAACCATTGATGAAGTTTAAATTTACATTTTAGTCACCATCTGCATTAAACTGAAAATTATGTACTTGCCCATCTGTTGAAGGAAAGTTGACCAAATACATATAAAATAAACAATATATTTTTTTCCAAGCAAGCTCCCTGCCCCCCCCCCCTTTTTTTTAGTGATATCTATTTGGTGCTTGTATATGTATCATGTGATGATTATAAAGATCAGAAAAATGCATGCCATGTGTGATGATTATAAAGATCAGAAAAATTCATGCCATGCTCTGATTGGTCATGGAGCACTCATTTATTCGTTCTGCTTGCTCATCAGCCTTAATGACTGACATTAAATTGGCATCATGGTTGCTTTCATATTTCAGAGATGAACGTTCTGAAAATTGCTTATCTAGTGAAAGGCACCTTTTCAGGTTACACGCTTGCTTTACTGCAATGCCTCAGGGAAGATGCATGGCCAAGGTTCACACTCTGTTTTTATTTTTGGAAGTAAGATTTGTATAACTATTTTAAAAGCATTTCCAGGCATCCAGCAATCCTCCTGACCTTTTAGCCCGTGTTCATAGTCTATGCTTGTTTCCTCCTCCCAAGCAAAAAGCCATTCCTAAAGTGAATCGAGGATAACTTTCCTGGGACACTTCAGCATTTTCAAGGGCTCTTTCTGTATCTTACTTCCCTTTTTTTTTTTTTTTTAGTGTGCTTCCTGCAACTCAGTAAGTGCTCCCTAGCTTTTTCTCGAGTGAATGATTTATGCACATTGTTAAAGGATAAGAGTGCAGGGACTGTATTTTTTTGTTTGGAGAGAGAATACAGATTGTAGAACTCAAGTATTTTGATCTCTTTGTGAAGTGCTATACTGTATCACATATTAAAATGTTAAGACTTTTGTTGTAAATCTTGAGTTTTTAATATTAGATTTAAAAAATTTGGCTCTGTCGAGTTGATTTGAAATTTCACCTTGTGTGTTCTTCAGTTTAAATAAATGAATTCAGCCATTAGCAAACTCAGACCGTCAAACTATGTAACCAAAGGGGCGGTTTGCTAAGATAGCTCAAAGGGAACGCTTAAGGAGTGGAAAATCGGTCATTGCTTGCGACTATTTTACTCTCCAATACTCTGTGTAACCAAGAGTCCAAATTTCTGGACTGTGTCTTTTTATCAATAAGCTTTACTATTTTTGGTGACTAAAATTTGCTCTGTCAACCTTTCTTGAAATTTTTTTCAAAAAGTGCCAGATACCATGCCAGGTAAAGTCCCTTGCAGTCTTTCTACATGTAGATCTAGCAATGATGAAAGATAAAGCTTGTTAATTAGATAGCCATACATTTACAGTGGTGGCATTGGTCTTGTTGTGAGGTGGCATGGGGTTGGCTCTGTCTTGTAGTGACCCTGTGTTGTACAGAAGAAAACACTGTCCCCTCTTAAGCCATCCTCAGAGTCCTTGTGGAGCTCTCGTTGTTGCTATTGCTATGTCAAGCCATCTCTTTGGGGTGGGGGGGGTTGCGGTCTTCTTTTTTCACTGACTCTACCAATCATGACATCCGTCTCCAGTGGCTGGTTCCTACTGACAGCATGTTCAAAATATGTGAGGTGAAGTCTTGCCACTGTGCCTTTTAAGGAGAATTCTGCCTTCTTACTTCTTCCAAGACCAATTTGCTCATTCTTCTGGCCGTCCATGGACTATATAAATGTCTTTGCCAACACCACCATTTGGATGCATCAGCTCTTTTTTTGGTCTTCCTTATAGACTTAGAGACTATGAAAGGATTAGGAAAATTATTTTTGTCTGATACTTGGTTGCCTAAGGGTGTGTTGTCATTATTTTCAGTAAACAAATTGTTACTTTGAAGACTCATTCAGGTCATTTGTTGATATGGCCTTGGATTGACTTTACATTTCTTTTAGAAAATGACACTTAATTTTTGCCTAAGGAATTTTATCTGACTTGAAAGGGAACGTCATAACACAGAAGAAAATCGCCTATATGTAAGTAGCTATGGGTCAGCATTGACTGCATGGCAGTGGGTTTGTTTGGTTTTCCTACCCTCTATTCGCACCTTACCTCTGTAACTTTAAATTCTTGCAGGATTAATCGAAGACAGTGGCATAACTACTTCGTTGTTTCCCAAAGTGGGCAATACTGCCCCTGGGTAGCGCTGGAACAATCCAGGTGGCTGCAAAAGCAGATACCTACACTTTATCCTTAATTATTGGCTAGTAGAAAAATTTTTAATTGCCAAGGGAGCAGTGGGTAATTTTTTTTTCTTCTGAAAGGGGGAAATAGGCAAAGTAAATTTGGGAACTTACGTCTGCCTGATTTAAAATCCTGGCATGATTACTTACTAGCTGTTGACTGACATAATCACTTACACTCATTTTCCTTGGTTTTCTCATTTGTGAACTGGAGGCAATAATAGTTCTCCTCTTACAGATTTGTCACATAGATCAAACAGGACACTTTGTATAAGAGGCTTATAACGGAATGGATTTGTTCTGGTACATAGTAATGCTCAAAAATCTGTATTATTGGTGGCATGTAACCTCAAATCAATTTTATGCAATAAATAGATGAAAAACATACTAACAGCCATAACAAATCATTTCTGTTGACCAGGTCCAGTGTTTCACCCGGTAACAAAAACAAACCACAAGTCATTTTTCCAGCTATTTATTCTCAGATTCTATTCGGGACTCATTGATGTGGTGTTATTTTTCAAATGTCTGAGCAGTATGGCACCATTGAAAAGCTCAGATGTTATGACTGTGCTTAGGAGTGGGTTTGTTGTGGGACAGTATTTATATCCACACTTGACATTTTTTCACATCTTATCAAATTACTTGCAAAGGACCAATGTGTGCTTTCCCCAACAGTACAGGGGAAGACCTGTGTTCTCAGACCTGTGCCCAGAGCCAGGTCCCTCACTTGAATCAGATTGGCATGTCTGAAGAGGCAGGGTCAGGACAACTGCCTTGGGCAGGGGGTGGAGTCTGAAAACGATTTTGGAGTAGTGGTCTCTGGTTAGGTTGAGGCACTAACTACAGTGATAGGTTATAGGCAACTGAAGGCACACCAGCTTCTAGACAATTAGAATGAAGAAGCCAATAGAAAATCTGCATATAAGACAGAAGTGAAGGGACTAGGGACCAACCTACTTGCAAACCATCCGCAAGGGGATGCTATTCATTTGTACCAGGCACAACCATTGGCCAATTTGCTTTCCCCTTTACTCTCAATGACAGCAGTTCTCACACATTATTGGCACCTGCGTCAGACCCTCCGGTCCTTTCCTCTTCCCTCCATTCACCTGGCTCTCTTGGATTTGTCACTGAGAAAGCATGTCAAACAGAAAAACGAGATTTAATTTTGTAATACACTATTTGCTTTATTTCACTTGGAAGTCACATTGCAATTTTATATTGAGTACTTGCTGAGCCCTGGTGGCGCAATGGGCTACATTGTTGGGCTGCTAACCACAAGGTTAGCAGTTTGAGCCTGCCAGGTGCTCCGTGGGAGAAAGATGAGGCTGTCTGCTATCAAGTTGTAAATCCTGTTTTGTTTTGCAGGGTTGCTCTTAGGAGTTGGAATCTACTCAATGGCAGTGAGATTGGTTTTTGTTTCGAGACCATTTAAGTGCAAACTTTTGTGTTAGCGTTTTCTATATAGAAACGTTAAGGAAAGATGCACTTACATGTATTGAAGATCTCCCCTATTCTGCTGGGTGTGCTTTGGGCACATATGCCACAAAAGACCTCTTAAAGTGTTGGAGAGCAAAGATACCACTTGGAGGATTAAGTTGTGCTGCCTGACCCATCCACTTGAAAGCATATACCCAGTGCCTTTGAGTTGATTCTCTCATTGTAGCCCTAGTTAGTTAGGGTTTCCGAGACTGTAAATCTTCAAGGGAGCAGCCAGCCTCATCTTTATCCCACAGAGCAGCAGGTAAATTTGAACTGCTGATTGTGCTGTTAGTAGGCCAACGCTTAAGCCCTAACACCTCTGCTGTAACTAAAAATAGACAAGTGCTTTGTGATGAAAGTTCACAGTAAATTGCCATAGGATTTTAGAAGAGGGAGAGTTTGTTTTGAACGGAGGACTTGAGGAGACACACTGGGAGAACTGCCACGCGAGCACCTGGGCTTTGACTCGTGTCAGACTTGGACGTGGGAACTATCAGGTTACTCTGGAGGCGTGGGCATGGCCCACGCAAGTGTGCAGAAGCTGGAACGTGTGAGTTTAGAGACTAGAAGGTGCCTTGGGTGCTTTTTGAATGAGCCCTGGAAAGTACTTTAAAGCACTCTTAAAGCACCCTTTGTAGAACTTGTTCTTAAACCAAAAACCCCACAAAAACCTAAACTCACTGACTTCACATGGGTGCTGCCTCATGGCAACCTCATAGAACAGAGTAGAACTGCTCCTGTAGGTTTCCAAGACTGTAAATCTGTGCAAATAGAAAGTCTCATCTTTCTCCTGTGGAGCAGCTCGTGATTTTGAACTGCTGACCTTGTGGTTGGCAGCCTAATGCATAACCCGCTAAGCCACTTATCCTTAAAGAGCGAAGTAAGATGACGATGTTTCCTTTCTTTTTCAGCTTGCAATTGAGCATGAGTCTTCTTATGATTAGTGAGAATGTAAAGTTGGCTCGGGAATACGCCTTACTGGGGAACTATGACTCTGCGATGGTCTATTATCAGGGAGTTCTTGATCAAATGAACAAGTACCTCTACTCAGTCAAAGATACATACCTCCAGCAGAAGTGGCAACAGGTGAGAGTCATGTCTGCTGTGCGTGTGAATGGTCGGGTGCACATAAGGGAATATTTAAATAGATTGTGTAATTTATTACATTGATTCGCATGTAATGTTACTTGGAAATTTCTTGTATTAATAGCCCATGTTCATTATCAATATTACAAACTCTATTACAATGGTTGGATTCTAATAGATTTTTTTACAAGTGATAGGTTTGAAATTTTTTCGAGAGTAGATTTTTACTTGGTAAAGTGTAGAGTTGATTTTAAGCCTTTGTTGAAATTGTTAAGAACACTTGCATCTCACTGGTACCATTCTCCCTCTAGCATCTTATAAAGCAGACCATATTTGAATCTCAATGGAAATTTGCAAACGGAAACTATAGATTTATAGACCTAGTTGAGGATGCCATCTATAGCAATTTTCCACTATGTCACAAAAGGAGAAATGATAAAGAAATTAGAAGTGGTTAAAAATAAGAAGAAAAAAAAAGAAGTGGTTTTCGGAGCTAGTCTTATAAGTAGAATATTCTCCTTCAGATTTCTACTGAACTTTTTTCCCCCTCCATTTTCCATAACCATTTCCATAAATGCTTAACCATTTTCCATAAATCTGCTCCACCATAGTACTTACTTTTTTTTTAACACGCAAAATAGTTTTTATTCTGGATTGAACAAAATTTAAAGTCCAAACAAGCACTGCCCATAAGATCTTTTACAATTGTTGCTTAATAGCTGTGGGTAAGTCTGAGTGCTCTTAAATTTGTCAGTATGTTTGGCAATTACTGATAATAATCATGAAGTTGTAAGAAGAAACGATCGCAATGAGTTCATGCTTGACAGACGTCTGACGTCTGAAGACACCTGGATAACACAGTCCCTCTCATGAAAGCACCAGTATAGCTTTCTTTAGACATTAAGAACAACTTGTCCATGCTCTCCATGTGAACTCCAATTCTGTGAGGTTCGAATCGAAGGAAGAGACTCAGGGTAAAATAAATCGTTGCCAGCGGGTCAAAGCTGAAATCCACTCGAGGTTTTCATCAAACACCTGCCCCCCGCCCCTGTTCCACTGAAGTTGTTCAGAGTCTACTGGCTACGCCTCTCGCTGCCCTCGCCGCTTTGGCTTTGTTTTTCCCCTTATTTTCTTGCTTTGCCTTCCGCTTTTTTCTCTGACTCGGGTTCATCCATAGCAGGTACTGTCCGTGCTGGTCTAGAAGGCTCTTCTTCTCCTTTTTTTAAAATAAATCATTTTATTAGGGGCTCATACAACTCTTATCACAATCCATACATACAATTGTGTAAAGCACATTTGTACATTCATTGGCCTCATCATTCTCAAAACATTTGCTCTCCACATAAGCCCCTGGCATCAGCTCCTCATTTTAGCCCCTCCGTCCCCACTCCCCTCTCCCTCATGAACCCTTGATAATTTATAAATTATTATTTTGTCATATCTTACACCGTCCGAAGTCTTCCTTCACCCACTTTTCTGTTGTCCATCCCCCAGGGAGGAGTTTATATGTAGATCTCTGTAATTGGTTCCCCCTTTCTCCCCCAACCTCCCTCCACCCTCCCAGTATCGCCACTCTCACCACTGGTCCTGAAGGGATCATCTGGATTCCCTGTGTTTCCAGTTCCTATTTGTACCAGTGTATATCCTCTGATCTAGCCAGATTTGTAAGGTACAGTTGGGATCATGATGGTGGGGCCAGGAGGAGGCATTTAGGAACTAGAGGAAAGTTGTATGTTTGTTTCATTGTTGCTACATTGCACCCTGACTGGCTCATCTCTCCCCGTGACCCTTCTGTAAGGGGATGTCCAGTTGCCTACAGATGGGCTATGGGTCCCTCATTCACAATGATATGATTTTTTGTTCTTTGATATCTGATAGCTGGTCCCTTCGACACCTCGTGGTCACACAGGCTGGTGTGCTTCTTCCATGTGGGCTTTGTTGCTTCTGAGCTAGATGGCCGCTTGTTTACCTTCAAGCCTTTAAGACGCTATATCTTTTGATAGCCTGACACCATCAGCTTTCTTCACCACATTTGCTTATGCACCCATTTGTCTTCAGCGATCGATCGTATCAGGGAGGTGAGCACACAATGATAAGATTTTGTGTTCTTTGATGTCTGATAACTGATCCCTTTGGCACCTCGTAATCACACACACTGGTGTGTTCTTCCATGTGGGCTTTGTTGCTTTTCAGCTAGATGGCCGCTTGTTTACCTTCCAGCCTAGAAGGCTTGTCTTAGTCCTCTTAATATCATTCTCCATTTTCATGCCATCCTCACCTTTTTCTTCACTCCCTTCACACTGCACTTTCTCTTGGCAATGTCTGCGCACTACACAGTTGGTATCTCTTGAACATCTTTCATTAAAGCATCACCATCTACTTTGAGAATGTTTTTAAGTCTGTTGAGCACCTTGGGGGCTTTCTTTTTTTCTCTTTTCAGCATACATTTTCCTTTTCCACTTACTCTGTAAACTTATAGCCATGTTTTACCTGGGCAAGTGTTTTGATCTCACGCGCAGCAAATAGATCCAAACTACTTTGATTACCTGAATGGGAAACCATTTTATTTCATAAGGAGTCCTAAGTTTGTTACTAAAAGTCTTTCAAGACCTTTTACTCTTATGCATTTATTTTAAAAGTATTTCCGTAAAGGTACCTTTTAATGCAAAGATACTTATTACTGACGTATTTAATTTTAAAATAAGACATTCCTAACTTTAGATGATATTTTAATTGTTTATAATGGAAGTCTGCAGAATACTAAAGTACTGACAACTTGCAGGTGCCTAAATTCATTGTTATGCAAATAGACCCTGATTTTGAAGCCACTGCACTACCCCTTCTGGGCATAAATTCTTGATCCCAGCCAACTTCATTGGCTGCAAGTGCAGGTTTTAAGTCATTGAAAAGACGCCCAGCCTTTCCTTGCACTAACCTGAAACCAACCCCACTTTCATTGAATCTCTCCAACTCATAGCAACCAAGTAGAGAGTTTTGGAGGCTTTGTAAATGTGACACACGCAGATAGCTTATCTTTCTCCCGTGGAGCACCTGGTGGATTTCAACTGCCAGCCTTACGGTGACCAGTCCCAGCATCTTAATAATGGCTCAATAATCTTGTTTTCAAATACAAAATTAACTGACAAAAATGAATTAAGACCCTGACTAATTATTTCTTAACAGATTGAAAAGTTTGCTATCCTTTAAAGTTTGACAAAAAGAATGTCTTTTGCTAATTACACCTTGATTTCTATGCTTATTTACTGTTGGTTTCTATACTGTTTTCTTTTTAAAATGCTGATCAGAACTCACTAATTTCATAATTCACTAGTATATTGGAACATAAATGATTTGGAAAATGCAGTTTCAGAAGACACATACATGTCTGCATATACATCCAATTAAGATAGTTTTAAAGCAGCAGTTTGGGCTCAGTGTAAACACATGATACAATCGAATATCTTGAATTATTGATGTCTGATGTCCAAATGAAAGTTTCTGTTATATCTGATAAGTTGCCCTAGTTTAATCTAGGCAGTCATTATAGAAATGTAAAGAGCCATATTCGCCTTTGCAATCAGGTTTGGCAGGAAATAAGTGTGGAAGCAAAACATGTTAAGGATATCATGAAGACTCTGGAGAGCTTTAAACTGGACAACACACCCTTGAAAGCTGCCCAGCATGAGCTTCCGAGTTCTGAGGGAGAAGTCTGGTCCTTGCCTGTACCTGTTGAGCGAAGGTAAGTGGGGACCTGCTGAGAAACAAATTAGCCCAAGGAATCTGACACACTGCTTATATATGTAGAGGGCAGAACTAGGGAGCTGAGAAACAAAATTGGGGAGGGAATTCATTCATTCATTCATTCATTCATCCATTTATTTACCAGTGCCATTTTATAAGTCTAATTGTTTTATCATGTGACTCTGATCTGTTTCAATAAGTTAATTGTAACTGGAAATGCTAAAAACGGGCTTTGGTGAATGAACCTCAAGTAGTAGATAGGGGTTTGGAAATGGATATAGCTGAGAAGTGCTCATGCACTAGCCCAAAGGGTGCCTATTTGAACCCCATGCCAACCCTGCCCCCACCCCCAGGCTCCTAGAAAGGCAGGATTAGTAGCTGCTGCCGCATGGCCAGCTCTTGAGAATCCTGGAGCAGTTCCACTCGGCACACACACGCCTGCTAGGAGTTGGGCATCAACTTGATGGTAACTGACAACAATAGTAGCTTGTCTGCGTCTTTAAGAAAACCAGCCAGCCTTTGTAGGCCTCAGGTAAGGAGCCCTGGTGGCACAGTGGTTAAGTGCTCGGCTGCAGTGGAAAGGTTGGTTGAACCCCCTAGCCACTCCAAATAGAAGGATGTGGCTGTCTTCTTCTGTAAAGATCACAGCCTTGGAAATCTTGTGGGGCAGTTCTGCTCTGTCCTATAGGGTCCCTGTGAATCGGAATCAACTCACTGGCAGTGGGTTGGGCCTCAGGTCTTACTCTCTGTAAAGTGAAGGACTTGGACACAAACAATGGTCTCTAAACAAGCTGTCAAAGCCTCAAGTCTACTGCTGCTGGACCAGAAAATAGACTTCAAAAAAAAATTTTTTTTTCCCCCTGGGGAAAGAAAGTGGTGTTACCAAACCCAGGGATAAGGGAACAACAAATGATCCAAAAAAATAACTGGCGAGGAGGGTATAAGAGGCAGGGCTTGAGCAAGGGCAATGTAACTGATAGAAATTACTGAAACCCAAATGGAGGCTAAGCATGATAGTGGGAAAAGAGGAAAGTAAAAGGAAATAGAGGAAAGAACTAGGAGGCAAAGGGCATTGATAGAGGTCTAAATACAAGCATGTACATATGTAGATATATTTATATATGATGATGGGGAAATATATCAGTGTGCATATTTTTATAGGTTTAATATTAAGGTAGCAGATGGACATTGGGCCTCCACTCAAGTACTCCCTAAATGCAACAACACTTTGTTCTATTAACCTGGCATTCTATGATGCTCACCTTCCCAACACGATTGCTGAAGACAAATGTGTGCATAGCAAATGTGGTGAAGAAAGTGATGGCGCCCGGCTATCAGAAGATACAGTGTCTGCGATCTTAAAGGCGTAAAGGTGAACAAGCGGCCATCTAGCTCAGCAGCAACAAAGCCCACATGGAAGAAGCACACCAGCCTGTGTGATCACAAGGTGTTGAAGGGATCAGGTATCAGGCATCAAAGAACAAAAAGTCATATCATTGTGAATGAGGGGGACTGCGGAGTGGGGACCCAAAGCCCGTCATCTGTAGGCAACTGGACATCCCCTTACAAAAGGGTTTCAGGGAGAAGACGAGCCAGTCAGGGTGGAGTGTAGCACTGATGAAACATAGAACTTTCCTCTAGTTCTTAAAATGCTTCCTCTCCCCCACTATCATGATCCCAATTCTACCTTATAAATCTGGCTTGACCAGAAGATGTACACTGGTACAGATAGGAACTGGAAACACAGGGAATCCAGGACAGATGATCCCTTCAGGACCAGTGGTGAGAGTGCCCATACCAAGAGGGTGGAGGGAAGATGGGGTAGAAAGGGGGAACTCATTACAAGGATCTACATATAACCCCCTTCCTGGAGGATGGACAACAGATGAGTGGGTGAAGGGAGATGTTGGACAGTGTAAGACATGACAAAATAATAATAATTTATAAATCAAGAGTTCATGAGGGAGGGGGCACAGGGAGGGAGGGGAAAATGAGCTGATACCAAGGGCTCAAGTAGAAAGCAAATGTTTTGAGAATGATGATGGCAACAAATGTACAAATGTGCTTGACCCAATGGATGCATATATTGATTGTAATAAGAGTTGTATGAGTCCCCAGTAAAATGATTTAATTAAAAAAATATTTTTTTCTTTGAGAAAGAGGAAGGATAACGTGTTCTCAGTTTTAGGTTTTTCTCTGGCTTACCCCCCCCCCCCCCCAACTATTACTGGAATGCCAGCAAATAGCAGTTAATAAAACCAATACATAATTACTGAATCCTCTGAAGAGCCAGTCATGCTCAGTGTCACAGCATATTTTTTAACTCATTTGGTTATTGTTTGCAGAAGTTGGCTGTGATTGTCACGTGCTTGTTTCTGATTAGACCCTCACCAGGCCCTCGAAAACGCCAGTCCCCTCAGTGCAGTGACCCGAAGCCACACGGGAACCGTTCAAGTACAGCTGTGAGAGTTCACCGTCCATCGGCCCAGAATCTTCACAGTGACCGAGGCAAGGCCGTGCGTTACCGAGAAAAGAAAGAGCAGAATAAAGGCAGAGAGGAAAAGGTAAATGTTGCTGATTTTCACAAATGAGATAGATATTTGTTAACGCTTAATAAGTATGAAGCCTGGATACATTTCAGTAATTTCCAGACATCAAGCAGTTTGTCAGAGTTAAAGAACTTCTTTGTACCCCAATTACACCAAGATTTTCCCCACTAGCCATTTGGCAACTGCTTTTTATTTTGATGGATTTCAGATTTGCCCAAAAGTTGTAAGAATGATATAAAGAGCGTCCACATGTATATTTTCCCAGTTTTAACAGCTATTACTGTTTGTTTATGCTTTTACCCTTTTGCTTTATCGTTTACTCTATACTTTTTAATTTTTTATGGAATAAGTTCTAGAGACCTTTCCCCGTCTTTTTTTTTTTTAATTACATACTTTTATTTGGGGCTCTTACATCTCATCACAATCTGTACATTCATCCAGTGTGTCAAGCACCTTTGTACATATGCTGCCATCATCACTTTCGAAGCATTGTCCTTCTACTTGCACCCCTGATATCAGCTCCTCATTTTTCCCCCTCCCTCCCCTGCCCACTCACTCTCCCTCATAAACCCTTGGTAAGTTTACATCGTCCTTGTCTCCCTTCACCCACTCTTCTGTTCATCCCGCTGGGAGTGGGTTTATATGTTGATCCTTGTGATCGATTCCCCCTTTCTTCCCCCACCTTCCCCATATCCTCCTGGTATCTCTTTTTTCATTGTTGGCCCTGAGGAGTTTATGTATCCTGAATTCCTTGTGTTTCAGGTTCTTATCTGTCTGGTCTAATCCGATTTGTAAGGTAGAACTAAGGTCATGATAGTGGGGGGAACAAGCACCCAAAAACTAGAGGAAAGTTGTGTGTTTCATCGGTGCTACACTGCACCCTGACTGGCTCATCTCTTCCTTGTGACCCTTCTGTGAGGGGATGTCCAATTGTCTACAGATGGGCTTTGGGTCTCCACTTCAAGCCACCCCTCTCTCCCCCCAATTCAAATTGGGTATGATTTTGTTCTGGGTCTTAGATGCCTGATACCTTATCCCATCGGCACCTCATGATCTCACAGGCTGTCCCCACCTTTTTAATTTTTTGGTGGTGACAACATGTAAATGGCAAAGCATTCACCAAGAGAACAACTTTACGTTTACAGTGTATTGATTAAATTTTTCACTGTATGCCACTTTTATTGCTATCCCCATCCAAAACATTCTAGGACCATTAACATAAACTCAGCTCCTAAAACAAGAGCTCTCTCTTCCCCCTCCTCCCTTATCCCTCCCTGGTGACTTATAAGAATTGTTCCCTCAAAACTAAACTCTGCAATCGAGTCAATGCCAACTCATTGCCACCCTATAGGACAGGGTAGACCTGCCCCTGTGAGTTTCCAAGACTGTTTTCAGGAATAGAAAACCCATCTTTCTCCCGCAGAGAGAGAGGGCTGGTGGTTTCAAACTTTGGACCTTTGAGGTTGCAGCCCAACACGTAACTACTATACCACCAGGGTTCCTTTATAATAATCGTTAGTATCTGTACATTTACCCATTTATGTTGAATTACTTCAGAATGTATTTTCTAAGTACCAGTACATACTTTTAAACAGGGGGTCAGTTCACTGTCCCTCAGACCATTGGAGGGCCAGACTGTAGTATAAAAAAAACCCACTATGAACAAATTCTTATGCACACTGCACATATCTTATTTTGAAGTTAAAAAAACAAAACGAGGCAAAGACACCCAGCGAGCTGGATAAATGTCCTCGGTGGGCCGCACGTGGCCAACAGGCCGTAGTTTGAGGACCCCTGTTTTACATGGACATAATTCTCAAAAGCAGTGAATTTTACATGGATACAGTGCCGTCACCTACAAACCTTAGAAGAATTTCACCAGTTGTCTTAATGATGTCCTTAAAACTGTTAAATATTTTTTCCTCCACCAGTATCCAATGTAGAACCGTGCCCTGATTATTGTTTCTTTAGTCTCTTTAATCTGGCCATCTCCTTTTCAGACCAGCATTTTGGAAGAGCACCAGTCAGCCATGATGTCGACCGTCTCTCATTTGCGGTTTATCTAATGTTCCTTTTGATTAAATTCAGGTTATGCATTTTGGGCAGGAATCCCACCAAAGGGCTGTTTTGTTCTCAGTGTATCATCTAAGGAGAAGGGTACAGGCTAGCTACTTTTGCAAACACTGGAGATAAGGTTGGGTCACTTAGTTAGGTTGTATCTGCCAGGTCTCTCCACAATAAACTGACTTTGTTTTTCCCTTTGTAGTAATTTGTGCAGAGATACTTTGAGACTATGCAAATATCTTGTTTCTTTTCAAATTTCCATTTGTTTTAACATTCAATGATGCTTTTTTCTGTAGAACTCAATTTGGAATCATAGTGTAACTGTTTGTATTCTGTGCCTATACTTATGCCCTGAGAAATGATACTCAGAATCTAAGGTACTGTAAACAAATCAGTTGTCAAGAGATTAAATAAAATTAAATTAATAGGTGCATGTTGTGGCAGGAAAAGATAAAACTTTTCAAAAATAAACATGGTGTTTGAGAGTATGGGCTTGGTCTCAGATAAACGTGTATCTAAGTACCAGCTATTATTTCTGGCTGTGCTACTTAATCAAGTTAATTTCATTTTCTAAGCCTTGTTTCCTCAGATGTAAAATTGCAGTGTTATCTGCCTCATAGACTGTTCTGTGAGGAGCAAATAAGATAACATTCTTTAGTACAAGTGCTCAGTAGACATTAGCTATTTTCCCTAAACATTCCAGGTAACCAGGATTTCAGTGTATTTGCTTGCATTAAGCAGTTTATCATCTCTTTCACTCTCCCACCTCCATTGATTCCTACTCACAGTTACTGAGGACTTGTAAATCTTTAAAATAGCAGTCTCATCTTTCTCTGGTAGACCAACTGGTGGGTTTGAACCATTGACTTTGTGGTTAGCAGCCTAATACTGGTAGATCATCGTTACTGTAGGACTCTGTATTTACTGTGCTTAACAATGTTTACCTTACTCTGATACTTCTTCTTATGCACTCCCCCATCTCCATCATTGTTAGTCAGTCTCCTTCATATTGTATAATGCCTCCTTCTTTCCCCAGATTATTGAAATCTACTTGACTTCCTTTACATTTGGAAGCTCTGTAACTTCCCTCTTTTGACTTTGTATTGTCTTCTTCCAAGTAGATGGTTCTGCTGTCTTGTTTTCAGTCTTGTACCTAGCAGACTTTTACTTCAGGTACCTCTGGGTTGACTTCTGGGTGGTTTTTGTCATGCGTGTTAATCTCAGGTTGTTGTCTGCCATTCTTGGTTTTCTGTCTGAAGAAATCCCTTTAGCACTTCTTGTAAGCTTAGTCTGTGTTTTACAAATTCCTGTAATCTGGAAATGCCTTCATTGTGCTGTGGCATTTGAGGGACAGTTTTGCTGGGTATATGATTCTTGGTTGACTTTTTTCCTTTCAGAATTTGGTGTATGTTAGCCCATTGCATGCTTGGTTTCTGCTGAGCAATCAGAGCTTAGTCTTACTGTCTCCCTTGTAGGCGATTTCTAGTTTTTTCCCTGAGGAACCTTTCTTTGCTTGTCTTTGGTGTTGGACAATGTGAGTATGATTGTGTTGTCTGTTTGTGTCGTCCTCAGTTTACATTGCTGTATTCCTGACACTTAGGGCTGTCTCTCACCCCAGCAGAGAATAGGTATTTGTAAAATATCTGATGAAAAACAACCTCATCAATACTGAGCAGAAAAAAATAACCCTCTTATAAGTGTTTGACCACACCTTCCTTGAATCCTTTGGATTTGTTTTGGATACAGAATATGTACATTATTAGAAACTCATCTAGGCATTTAAAGTAAGCCTTTGAATATCAAAAATATTGGTTACATCTAGACTTTAATAATGACATTAGACAACACCAGTTGACAAAGAAATTACTATACCAAGGGCAAATGATTATTCACCCTCATGCAGAACCTCATACCATTTTTTGGTTCATGAGGCTCTATGACTGTCACAGAAATTTTTTATGGCACATTTGGCCCAAAGGTACACCCAGCCAGCTGCCATCTTTCAGGTTAGGTTTAAACAGTTTCAGTGTTTTATGTCCCAACACCTATTGGACAGTACATAGGTTCTCAACCCTTTGCATGGAGTGGGTATTGTGTTCCCATTCCCCTTCTCTATGGATTGTCCTGTCATCCTGCTTTTCACAGCAACTTCCCCAAACTCACTTTCACCAAATGATTCTACTGAAAGGAGGTAATAATTTTCATGTAGAAACTATGAACAACCTCAGTTACCACTGTGTTCCCTGCAAAAGGGTAAAGCATCTCTCAGTGTTCTGAGTTTGCCATGGTGCCTGCACAGTGCTTCCATGCCGTGGTTAGAAGCCGTGGCCCCGCGCTTGTCGTCAGAGAGCAGGAGGGACTGTTCCTGAGGGTGCACATGCTGTCTTAGAGGATGGTTGAGAAGCACTGATGAGGACAAAACATCTGTGCTCAATGTGGAAATGGAATGAAAAGATAGAGGAATTTTTTGAAATTCAATGGATATTTTGAAGCCCTCTTGCATGCTTCCTAGTGATCACAGTTAACTCAGTATTTTTAAATTTTAGCTAATTTGGATGCCGTATCATTTTTTATTTGTTCATTCTGTTTAGAAAATGTGAAACACTGATAATGATGTAGAATGACTTTAGACTTTGGGTCTAGCCATTTTATTTCTACTATTTACATTTGAAAGGATATCACTTGAGCCCAATGTTGTTTCTGACTTAGAAACAAAATACAATTTTTGAATCAATAAAACCTTTTTTTTCCCTCTCCTGATGTAGAGCAAATCACCTGCTGCAGTTACAGAACCAGAAACACACAAATTTGATAGTACTGGATATGATAAGGACTTAGTAGAAGCTCTGGAGAGAGATATAATTTCTCAGAATCCCAATATTCGATGGTAAGTTAAAGCATAGCAAGGTAATTGTGTGCATGCCGGTGATGCTTTTTGGAACTGAATGTAGAACGGATTGGGTACAATATGAGCAGAGCACCAACGGGAAAACTAGCTTCTCTGTCAACTGTTTGTGTGAAACCTGCTCCACATCCACAGCTGCAAGAAGCTCACAGGAAAGGCATCTTCTCATCACTGTTCTGTTACAGAAGACACACTGTGCATGGGAAAAACTGTAGCTAATGGCAATTTTTTAAAAGATGAGGGTGTTAATATTGATTTCTAATAAGATAGACTTTAAGGCAAAATTCAGCATAAGAGACAAAGAAGAGTATGAGGTAATGATTAAAGGGTCCATTAAATAAGAGCAGTATAGCCATCGCATTATGCACCCATTGAAAATGAAGAAAGAAATGTTCATTTTAGCATACCTTCTCATGGTGAAAAGACAATGATTTTATTTAGATGTATTGCTTACATATATGCTTACCCTCTAAATAATTCTTACTAAAAACAGGTGTTCTCAACTTCATTGATATATCTAACCAAACAATATGTTAATAAGGTATATTTTGTTATTACCTTACATTCTGCTAAAACCTTACTGATTATGATGTATGGTCTGTGGCAATCTTTTTCTGTGTGTGTGTGTGTGTACCTGGGTGGGCACGAAGGCAATTTTTTTCAAAAAAGGTTTTGGCATTTTATATTTATATAATGGACATATTTTCATAATAAAAAGTGCTCCTTTCAAAGTCAAAATGGCACATGTATCGGTAGTAGTATGGATGTCCTAGAGTTTAGAGCACTCTAGTTTTTTAATGTGCTTTTAAAATGAATTTATTGTTTCTAAATTGAGTCATCTGTGGAATGAGCAGTATGAGAGCAGGGCATGATAATACTTGAGAGCCCTTGTAAACCTGTGTTCTCATGAGTGAAGCTGAATGTCATTACTGCCAAGAATTGAGACCCAGATTATGTTCTTTATGTATCCTGGTTGGTAGGGTGGGTCTCTGCCCAGTGTTAGTTCACTCATGCCGGGGAGAAACTTCAGGAGTTCTGGTAATGCATTAGTTCAGTGTTTGCCTGCTAACCAAAAGGTGAGCTGCTCAAACTACCAGCCACTTTAATGGAGAAAAGGCCTGAGCAAACTCCTCCCATGAGCATAGGAACCCTGGGAGGCAGTTCTCCTTTGTTGTGTAGGGGTGCTACAGTGAGTGGCACACCGCAATGACGGTGACATCAAGGAGAGGTGTAGCGTTCTGTCAGCAATGTAGTCAGGAGCTTCCCAGTGTTTCTGCAGAAAACTGCCTCGCGTGAAATAATTATCTAACTGGTTGTATTCTTCTTCAGGGATGATATCGCGGATTTAGTAGAAGCCAAAAAATTGCTTAAGGAAGCCGTGGTGTTACCTATGTGGATGCCAGAATTTTTTAAAGGCATTAGGAGACCATGGAAAGTAAGTTTTTCAGTACTTTCGCATTATCAAACTGTTTATGTATATTAGGGGAGAGGAAGTGGCGGAGGTGTAGAAACATTTTTTAAGTTTGTGCTATGTTAGTCAAAATTGTGTGCTAGGCTGAAAGCTACTGCAAGGTTCTCAGAAAGTACAATATGATGTTTGGAAGTTTGGACACGCAGATTTAGAATGAGCTTGTATTTGCAAATATGAAGTAAGAAAAAAATACTCAATTGTAGGTTTTTTGTTTTTTTTTTAGCAAATCAGGAATATTGGCTGTGGTTCCAATTTTCTTTTTAAAAGGTGGTATGTGGGGAGCGAGGGAACTGATCACAGGTTGGATTTATAGCACTCACCCCCACCCCAAAGGGGGACGAATAATAGAAATGTGAGTGAAGGGAGACAACGGACAGTGTAAAATTTGAAATAGCATAATATATAATAGATCAAGGATTCATGAGGGGGTAGAGATGGGGAAGGGAGGGGGAAAAACAGGAGCTGATACCAAAGGCTCAAGTAGAAAGAAAATGTTTTGGAAATGATGATGGCAACATATGTACAAGTATGCTTGATACAATTGAATTATGGATTGTTATTAAGATCTATATAAGCCCCCAATAAAATGATTAATAAAAAATAAAACCAATGAAAGGCAGTCTCTTTACCTCAAAGACTTGAGAGAAAGGAGACTTTATATTCTCATAAAAGAGTTACAGTCTCAGAGAGGCACAAGGGCAGTTTTGCCCTGTCTTGTAGGGTCCATATGAGTCAAAATCAACTCGGTGGCAGTGAGTGAGTGACCTACCTCAAAGGCTGCAAAATGTATGTGCTCCTAACAGGCTAAGTCTTTCAAAAGGCATGTGCTGATCTGATGAAAGACTACCAATCTGGGATTTGGAAAATAAGAGCTAATGACTAATTCTGTACTAATATTTTTTTAAATCCTTTAAATGCTAAGTGATAGACAAGTACATTAGGCTGGATTCTCGAGAGTAGCAAATCTAGTGATGCTTACATGTGTGTGTATATGTAAAGAGATTTGCATCCAGAAACGGTTCATATGATTGTAGAAATGGGTCAGTCCACCCAGTTCCAGTCCATGAGTCAGATGGAAAGCTAGAGGCTTCCTTCACTAGTGTGGCTGTGGAGGCTGATGAACCAGAGCACAGGATGATGAAACAGGAGACCACACACTGGTGGATATGAAGTTGAATGACTCCAAGGTTGGCAGTTTGCTGATGGGCCCTGGAATCTGCAGACAATGTGGCAGGAGGTCTATGAACCCGATGTAGGACCCAGATCCAGTAGAAGTGACAAGCTTTCTCAGCATCTACTTAAGAAGGAGCAGGCCACATCCCCTAGGATTCTTTTTTTCCAATGTAGTCATGTCAGTACGTGAGGTGTAAATATTTGTTTGTTGAATTTGGTACTTAGTCATGGTATCTTTATGGATTAAAACAATGGCAGATAAATCCTTTCCTTATGCTGTTATGCTTATTCCAACAGGGAGTGCTAATGGTTGGCCCACCTGGCACAGGAAAGACCCTCCTTGCTAAAGCAGTAGCTACTGAATGCAAGACAACGTTCTTCAATGTCTCTTCATCAACTCTTACTTCCAAGTACAGAGGAGAGTCTGAGAAGCTTGTTCGCCTTCTGTTCGAAATGGTGACTGTTTTGAGATAGCTCTAGTGGTTCTTTACCTGTAAGAGGGAGATAGTGAGTTGTCGGTATTCTCCAGTGTGTAGATTAGGCAGGACGGCATTTTGCCTGGCATCTGATTTTGTTCACTAGAAAACGAGCACCTTTCACTGGAGACTCTGTCCTCTGTCCTCTAGGGGTAGCCCCATCTCTGCTGGTGCATGGGCATGCTCAGATTATGCAATCTGTGTGGCTAGTCTGCTGTGGGAATCTGAAATTGCTCCTAATGCTTTTTAAATCAACAGGTTTATATACAGTATGATTGACGAGTATAGTATTCTCACAAAAACACCCCAAGGGGAAGATAAAAAATAATTGTGGAACTTAGATCACCACCAATCTCTTCAATTACCAATTACCTCATTTAATGGTCCAATCTGTAGATTAATTTCCTAAATTTCCTGTTCCATCTTCCACTCCCCACAATCTGAGTACTTGCAGGAAGAGAAACGTAGTTCAACAAGTTCTACTGGAGTGTTTGAGTTGGCTATAACAGATTTTTACATTTTATACTTAGTTAAACTTCACTAATTTGGTCTTGCTTTACTTAAGCAATAGTATAGTTCTCAGAAAGGATGATATGTCCAGGCTGATGAAACACATAAATGTCCTCTAGTTTTTTAATGTTTCCTCCCTTTACTATTATGGTCCTACCTTTACCTCATCTTGTGAGACCTATGTATGTTCATTTGTATAATTAAGATTGTTCAGTGCATGAAATCTTTAAGATCTATAAACTATGATCCCCCCTGAGGGTATGGAAAGGGGGAGGGGGAACTGATAGCAATGATGACTGTATAACTCCAGTTGAGAGGAATGAGTAATAAATTGGTAGGTGAATGGATACATTGGATGGTGTAAGATATGGCAATAAAAAAATAAAATATCGGGTTCCTGGGGGGTAGAGTGGAGGAGGGAGGGGATAAAGGGAAGCTGATAACAGAGTTCAAGAAGAAAGAAAATGTTTTGAAAATGATGGTGGCAGCAATTGTAGTTATGCATGATCCAATTGAACTATGGACTGTTATATCTGTAAGAGGTCCCAATAAAATATTAAGGAAAAGTTAAAAAAAGAAGTAGTATAGCTCTTAGTATTAGAACTGAGTTGTGTATATTATGTAGATAGTGACAAGACTTAATCTTACTGACTAGAACCTTATATGGCCTCGTTAACATTGTATGAAGTCTTCAAAATAAACTACAATTTCAGGTTATCCATCTTTTTGGAAAGGCCACCACCTTTCCCCTTCAACTTATAAAACAGGAGGCCAACTTTACTGTGTTAACCATTGTTGAGTGTACAATTTGGTGGTACTAATTACAGTCACTCAGGACCAACAAGGAGAGTAGAGATACCAGGAAGATTAGGGGAAGGTGGGGGGAGAAAGGGAGAATCAATCATAAGGATCAATCTAGAACCCCCTCTCGGGGATGAATAATGGAAAAGCGGTTGAGGGGAGGCAGAGGACGCTGTAAGATATGAAAATAATCTATAATTTACCAAGGGTTTGTGAGGGAGGACGGGCAAGGGAGGGAGGGAGAAGGAATGGGGAGCTGATAACAGGCTCAAGTGGGAAGAGAATGCTTTGAAAATGATGGTGGCCTATGTGCAAATGTGGTTGGCACATTGGAGGAATGTGTGGATTGTGATGAGATGTAAGAGTCCCCAATAAAAGTATTTAAAAAAAATTACACTCATAATGTGCAACTGATGGGGATTTTATCTCAGCACAAACAAAAACTTGGGTCATATTCACTGACTCTTTACTTAGGGGACAGAAATACACTGGCATTAGTTAAATCAAAAAGAATAGAAATTTAAATGGAATTTTTAGAAGGAAATCTATGTATGATTTTATTTAAGGTAGTAGTTCTCTAATTTTCTCCCCCCTAGAACTTTGGAATCCCTCCCCATACCTGTGACTGATTTTCTTTTTTTTTTTTCCTTTCTGTGAATTATTTTCTACCATACTTATCAAAATGGGTTTTTAATATCCGGAATAATCCTGTAGTCAGTGGCAAAAATCTAGTTATGTGAAATTTGAATGTGTTCATCTGCATGAGAGGCCCCATCTGTGCTGTTCCAGTTGTAGCCTCTAACCCCAGCGTTAGGACAGAGGGAAGGAGGGGGTACACACTGTGACAGGCTCCCCAGCTGTTTTATTAACTGCATAATCTGCAGATCATTTTTTTAACAAAGTGAAAAGCCAGTCTTCCCTCGGTTCTTCCTTTAGGCTCGATTTTATTCTCCAGCCACCATCTTTATTGATGAGATCGATTCCATTTGCAGTCGCAGAGGGACTTCTGAAGAGCACGAAGCAAGCAGAAGGGTGAAAGCCGAGCTGTTGGTTCAGATGGACGGTATGCACGCCTGTGGATGGGACTGAAAGGCCTGGGGTGGCAGGTTGTGCAGAATCTCCAGGGCAGCAAATCAGGCTCTGCCTGAAGTGCCGATACAGGCTGTTCCCAGGTGTTCATGACTCCAAATGACTAGAGGGACCAGCAAGTAGACAGCTGTAGAGTTGGTTCTTGGGGATGGATAGAAATCTGTTTGGTACATTGACAGAAGTGACGCGCCACAACAGGGCCCGTTCACAGGATACTCTGGTATGTAAAGAAGCTTGAAGACTGTATACTATCTTGTGCCAATTAATGATCCATAATGTGAGCTGTATTTTGTATCATCTGACACCCCTCTCCACCATGTCTCTCCTCAACTCTATTTCAGGTGTTGGAGGTGCCTCTGAAAATGATGACCCATCCAAAATGGTGATGGTTTTGGCAGCTACTAATTTCCCCTGGGATATTGATGAGGCTTTAAGACGACGTCTTGAAAAAAGAATCTATATTCCATTACCCTCAGGTATCTTTATTGGCATCGTGTTAGAAAAATGCATGTTTCCCAGAACAAAATCATACCCAGTGTGAATTGGGGGTTGGGGCATGGAGTGGAGGCCCAATGCCCATCTGTAGACAATTGGACAACTCCTCACAGAGGGATACAGGGAAGAAAGGAGCCAGTCGGTGCAGTATAGCACCAGTGAAAAACACAACTTTCCTTTAGCTCTTTGGGACTTCGTTCCCCCCATTATTATGACCTCAATTCTACCTTATAAATCAGATTAGACCAGAACATGCACACTACTACACATAAGAGCCCGCAACACAGGGAATCCAGGATAAATTCCTCGGCTAACAATGCAAGTAGAGATACCAGGAGGATATGGGGAGGATGGGTGAAGAAAGGGGGAATCGATCACAAGGATCAACAAAGGAAAAGTAGGTGAGGGGTGACAGAGGACGATGTTACGATATGAAAATAATATGTAACTTATCAAGGTTTCTTGAGGGAGGGTAGTGAGGGAGGGAGGGGGAAGAAATGGGGAGCTAATAATCAGGGGCTCAAGTGGGAAGAGAATGCGTTGAAAATGATGGCAGCATATGTGCAAATGTGCTTGACACATGGATGAATGTATGGATTGTGATGAGATGTAAGATCCCCCAATAAAAGTATTTTTTAAAAATGCATGTTGACTCTCAAGTATACTTAAACTTTAAAATCTGGTATCGAATGAACATGCCTTTAAGAGACGAACAGTACTGTTCCATACATTGAGTTGTCCCAAGCCATTTGAGTTTGGCTGTGTCTAGAACGAGATGGGTTAACACAGGGACAGCAACCTTTCACTCAGTTGTTAGGTTGCCGCGGTCCTGTGAAGTGTTCACTTCTGTTGTTCAGGGGATGCTAGGAGTTGGAACCAACCTAGAGGCATCTAAGATAACGAGCCCGAATGCCTCCTGAATTTTAAAGGAAAACTCCTCCTCAGAGTCGGCTTTAGAAATAACAGTACATTATGATTATATTGAAGGCTTATAGATTTTGTTTCTACCATTAGCAAAAGGCAGAGAGGAGCTACTCCGGATAAGTCTACGTGAGCTGGAATTGGCTGATGACGTTAACCTTGCAAATATAGCGGAAAACATGGAAGGTTATTCGGGTGCAGACATTACCAATGTGTGCAGGTATGAATTACTTTGGAAGCATGGGGGGGTTTGGGGGGTTAAAAATGAGAGGAAGCTTTTATGATGACATAAAATCCACACTACAGGTTATAGGCACAGAATTGGCTTTCATTTAGCGTTAACAGGTCTGGTAAGACATCTGGTTATTGTACATAGAAGTGCAAAGCCTGCAGGCCATTGGACAGCTACAAGCTCAAGAAATTAGTGTTAGAATAATTTGTGTAAAATAAAAAATGAAGGGTTTGGGATAAAAATATGTATGTTGGTACATTCCTTCATTTGTTATGCAGGAATACAATTGAGAAATATATTGACTTGGCATAATCTTGATTTCAATTTTAAGTACGATCTTGTTTTAGTGTAGCTATTATAAGGTGACAGCAGTTTAAGAACATCTCTAATCCAGCTGGTTCTAGTCAGTTCTGTCCTCATCCAGGTATTGATTCTGATGCTAACTGCTAGCAAGGTACCTGCACTCACTAGTCTCCTATCAAACAGACACGGTGTGTACCACCCCAAGTCAGCGTGTGTGTGTGTGTGTGTGTGTGTGTCTCTCTACGTGGTGTCCCTTTACATACATGACTGCTTTCAGTCAAGAAACGTGATGAAAAAAGGTACATGCATCAAGAGAATTTCTGTCCGTGGATTTTTGATCCCTTTGTAAGGTTTTCCCATATTAAACCCTAGGGATGCATCCTTGATGGCCATGAGAAGGCGTATCGAAGGGTTGACCCCGGAAGAAATCAGAAATCTTTCAAGAGAAGAAATGCACATGCCGACAACCATGGAGGACTTTGAAATCGCTTTAAAAAAGGTTTCTAAATCAGTATCTGCTGCAGACATTGAAAGATATGAGAAATGGATACTTGAATTTGGATCATGTTAAATTCTCATACAAACTGAGAAAACCAGCCTTACATGTTTGAATAATTAAATGTAGTATTTCATTATATCGAGTGCTATATTTTTTTAACTTCCATAAGATTTTTTAAAACCTTATGATTCTGAATAAACAATTTTTTAAGCTATAAATTTGTTTTATTTTAAAACTAAAACCCCAGTCCACCGCCACTAAGTTGATGCCAATCCAAAACACCCTGATTGGACTCCACAGAACTGTTCTTTACTGTTTCTGAGACTTCACATCTTTATGGGAGCAGACAGCTCCATCTTTAGAGTTCTCTTTTCTGGAATGTCTAAGCTTATGCTTAATAATGCATGTAACATGGCCCTGCCATCATCTGGAGGGCTTTTAGCAACCTATGGAATGAGGAAGGCATGGAGAAGTCAAGGAGTACTAGCCGGGTGACTTTAGGATCAAATTGTAAATTGCATGCTATTACCGATTTTTCTAAAATATGTAGTACTCACATTCCACAAGTCTAGTATGACGACTGACTAAAAACAGTCTTTCTCTCTCCTCTCTCAGCCTCATTAAGGGGGGAAGTGATTACATTCTTGGGCAACCCTTTCAATGGTGGGTTGAGACCAAAGTATTTTTTTTAATGAAACAGAAGGTACCCATTTTTTCATACGGAGTAAAGTTAGATACAAGGTCACATTGTGAAATACATGTCACATGGGCACTGGTTACAGAGGACACTGCTGTGGTACACCTGATTCCATAATGCTGCTGGTGAGTGAACGGTTTCAATCGTGGTTTCAGCAGTGAAAGGGAGCTAACATCATCTGTAGGTCGTTCTCGCCTGGGCAAAATTCTTAAGCCATTTCCACCAAAAAATTATTAATTCCCCATCAAAAAATTTACAGTGAGAATATGTTGCTATGACTTTCAAATCCCTTTGTACTCAGCTAAGTAGTCTTGGTGTACAGTATACAATCAAATTATAATACACTTCAGTGATTTTATACTGAATCACAACCCTAATACAAAGGCACATTGTACTGAATAAAAAAATAAGTGTTAAGTTCTTGAATATTTAAATTAGGATTTCATAAAGTGCTTTTCATAGTCATATATTATAGTAATTCAGTGGATATAATTTCCTTTAAAAGGCATCTTGAAAAGTTATTGGCACGTGGCAGTTTGTCTTGCCTCTTTTGGGTAGTTCCAAAGTCTCCTCCCGGTCTCTCTTCTACTTTAATTGTCCCCTACCAATGTCTCATCTGAATAGCCAGCTCTGCTTCAGAACAAGCGAACCTGTCACTTTTTAAGGCAGGTTTAGGAGTTTAGCACTTTGTCTAGTGTAAATTCATTCTTCATGATTTAAAGAAACGTATGTTCAAGTGACAAGCTTGGATCCAAGTAGACTAATTTCAGCGTCCATCATTTAAATACATGTTTTATCTTCAAAGTTTCCTGCTGTTTTCTCAGGACTCTCAGGATATAGGTTGACAGTTGTCACTGGTATAACATTCATTTTATCCAGATGAAGAATTCCCCTGAAATAGAAGATGATTAATTACTAGCAGAATCAGACATTTCCTGGACCTGTACTGTGACAGTACGCTAGGGCTACTTCAAGGTTAGAATTAAATACGTACCTAGCTTCATTTCATTTAATAGTTTTGTATGTTTGTACACAGGCTGATTTCAAAGTTCACTTTAACCAAACTGACAGACAGACAGGCACACAAGAAAGTGGACTGACTACCTGGTACTGTTCGGGAAGGAAGGGGCGGGGCAGAAAAGCAGGGCTCTCATAGCAGACGCTAGGTGCGCACACCTTTCTCATCAAGCTCACCACCAAACTGCAGCCTTGGCCTGAATCTCTCATATTACAGTACCTGAGCAGAGAGCAGATCTCTAGGTTGAAGCCAACCAATTCTCAGAGGTTTTTAGAACATTTAAGGTCACTCACACCATCAATGCTACAGAGACAAATGGCGATGACCCCTACAGAAGACCATCCAGAACAGACTACTGGAGTAAGGTCATATTCTTAGTCAGCAGGTACATTCCTGATGGGATGATGGCCTCGCCATTCGGAAAACAATCAGAACTCTAGCTTAAACGACACATGAACTCTCAAACTCCCTGCCATGACAGGACAGAATAACACTGCCCCAGTGGGTTTCTGAGACGAACTCTTTCCAGGAATAGAGAGCATCAGCTGATGGCTGCAAACTTGACCCAGGTGATGAGCATCCCTGCGCTAACCCACCACGACACCGGGCTCTTAGACACACCAAACCAAAATCCAGACTCATTGTCAAGTCAGTGCTGACTCAGTGTAACTACTGACGAGAGTAGAAAGCTTCGGAGCAGCTGGTGGTTCCGAACTGCTGATCATACAGATCACAGCTCACTGCGTAACCACTACACCACCAGAGCTCCTGTCCTTAGACAAAGTGATGGTAAAAAGTTTTTTTAAAGTAATTTTTAAGATGAGAAAGGCCCACTTGAGCCAAATGAAAACCCTAGCAGTCACTGAAAGAAATTACTTTGCAAATTTAAAACTTGTGTTTACCATGACTTGATCATACTACAAATGATAGTCTGGGATAAACAACAGCTATAATATGCCACACATGAGGGAACTTCAAAAAATATGTGGAAAAATGGAACTGAAAGAAAAGTTAAAGAACAGTATGATCCCATCTGGATAAGAAAGGATGGTCTGTGTGTGTGTACTGAAAATTTCTAGAATGGAAGACATCTGTGATGAGTGGAATAACAGGTGGAGAGAGACTCATCCCTTTCCTTCTTCAGTAGTGTTTTTATTATTTTTTAAGCCATAAGAAGTTACTCATAATAAATTAAAAAATAAATACATTGTTAACACTATCATCATTGGCCACTTTCTTTCAGAAAGAAATATCAAGGGGAATGAGCAGTTTGGGCTTAACTAGATTACATTGTACGGTGTTGAATGAACCAAAGGACTTACTAAGAAACAGACTGAGTTCAAACATTGGTTTTGCCACTTGCTTGTTAGGAAACGCTCACGTCTTCCTGGGCAACCCGGTGATCATGCTTGCCTTGAAGGAGTCAGAGTACAAGCCCGGCACCTACAGGAATACTTACTTGTATTCACAAACCGGGAAAAGCACCTTTAAGATGGTTATGACCACAGCTGCCCCGATAATTCCAACCAAGAAGACATTCAGGAACATGAAAAGGACTGGGAAGACCTGGCTCCAGAAGCCACACAGATCTTCCCGGAGCTGCTCCATCCACTGGCACATGACCTAGAAACGGGAGCTCTGATTAGACAGGCACCTTTCAGCGGAGTTTGGAGGAGAAACCATAAATTCGGTCCTGCTTTTGGGGTGATGGGGACATTCTGCATCTTGAACATGGTGGTCTACATAGTCAACAGGCAGCTAACTACATTTACAATGAGTGGACTTTATTTTTAAATGTCCTTCAATAAAGCTACTTACGATTTTAAAAGTATGTCCTAGCGATGTAGGCCCAGAGATGCTAATATTTTTAAAAAATTTTAATGCTTTTATTGGGGGCTCTTGCAGCTCTTATAACAATCCATACATCAATTGTATCAAGCAGGCTTGTCCATAAGTTGTCATCATTTTCTTTTTTGCCATCATTCTTAAAACATTTTCTTTCTACTGGTATCAGCTCTTTTTTCCCTCCCTCCCACCCTCATGAACCCTTGATAAACTACAAACTATTATTATTTTAATATCTTACACTGTCCACTGTATCCCTTCACCCACGTTTCTGTTGTTCGTCTATCATTGTGATCAGTTCCCTTTCTCCCCCCTACCCTCATGGTATGCATGCTACTCCCATTACTGTACCTGAGGAGTTCATCTCTCCTGGATTCTTACCTATACCGATGTACATGCTCCAGTCTAGCAGAATTTATAAGGTAGAACTGAGGTCATGATAGTGGGCGGAGAGGAAGCATTAAAGAACTAGAGGAAGTTGTGTGTTTCGTCGGTGCTATACTGCACCCTGGCTGACTTTCCCCTCCCTTGTGACCCTTCTGTAAGGGGATGGCCAATTGTCTACAGATGGGCTTTGGGTCTCCACTCCGACTCCCCTCATTCACCTCAATATTTTTGAAATTTACTGACTATATAAAGCATGTGGAAATAACTGCTAATTGAAAAGAGTTTAGTTTGGCTCTCACTGCCATTGAGTGGATTCTGACTCATAGACCCTAAAGGAAAGAACAGGCTGGGAGTTTTGAACAAGGGACCTTGCTGGTCTTCCAACCTCCACCTCATCTGAAATGCTAGCATGACCATAACCACTTACAAAATTCACTACCTGCCTCACCTTATATGAAGATGGCGGCTCTGCACGGAGAGGAGTTTCGGGTAATTTGCCAGGTAAAGCATCTTCATCAACGGTGGTCTCCACAGTCCTGAGGAGATACTGACTGGTGGTCTGCAATGTACCAGCACTTTCTATGAGGAGGAAGAGGAACATTCCTAAAGTGCTGCTCTCTCTCCTACTGGGCCCTCTCCTGCCTGTGCCAGTACCGCTGAGAAGAGAACATGTCTACAAGGTACCCTGGGAGACGGTAAACATCTGATCTTGAATGATTTCAATGCCAGAAGGGCATTCCACGTAGCAGTTTATAACAGTTGTACAAACTCTCAAAGTCTAAAGTTAACTTTAACCACACTGACAGGTACACAGGGAAGTGGACTACCTGGTACTGCCAGAAGGAAGGGACAGACAGAGAAGCAGGGCTCTCACGGCAGATGCTAGGTATGCACACAGGGTGGGCAGAAAGGCCGGGCCCTCGCACCTTTCTAATCGAGCTCACTACCATACTGCGACCTCGACCTGCGTTTCTCTCTCTATTACAGCACGTGAGCAGAGAGCAGATCTCTGGCTTGGAGCCAACCAGTTCTCCGAGGTTTTTATAATCATTTAAAGCCACTCACACAGTCACTGCCACAGGGACAGATGACCATAGCAACACAGAGGACCGTCCAGGCGGGAGCTGCAGGCTCACATGAGGTGGGAGCTACAGGATCGAAGGAGTGTTTTTCCCTCTAATAAAACCTTTACAATCGTCTGATATCGTGTGATAGCTATCCCGAGTAAGACTAGGTGCTACGACAAAATAGCACCACCTAAGCAGCACTGATCACACTGTACTGAGACTCGAAGTCCTTAAGGAGACAGAGGGTAGTACATGCTATAGTTTCAAAAGAGGCTTATTGCCAAATATAGTCACGATGAAGAAAAATACAGAGAAGTTTATAAAAAACCATCAACCAAAGTGATCATTTCCATAGTCCTGTGGCTAGTGGGCTTCACATTACCTTTCCTAGAGAGGTTGGGAAGGGTGAAGAAACGGTCGCTGTCCCGGGAGATAGAGAACAGCATGCTTTCTTCCAATGGCAGCGTGGAGGTGGAATGCCTGAGGACGCCCTGGTCCTTGACTAGAATAGCAATTTCAGTGACATCCTTTTGTTGTGCCTACGAAAGCAAAGATAAGCATTTACTCTGTCATTTCAATAATGGCCAGGTGCAGTAAGAATTTAAAGGTGAATTTTCTTGCCAGAACTCTGCAACTGAAAAATGTTTCCTAGCCAATGGCTCTTCACTTCCCCACACTGTGAGGCATTTCATTCTCAACTCTAATTATTCCTGTCTGCTTTAGCACATATGCTCACAGACGCTTGGAGTGCTGGTAGTGCAGTGGGCAAACACTCCACTGCTAACGGAAGGAAGGGCAGTCTGGTACTCGGTTGCTGACAGTCAGAACCGATGCAACAGCACCGGCCACAGTGTACGTTTCCTCTCAGCACCATTACAGTTAGAGAAACTTGGTCAGGATATGGTGGCAAAGCACTTGCTTCGTTTAATGATGTTCCTAACATTCCCAAGTAATTTAAACATGTATATAAGTGTCTCCAGACTCTAAAGCAATCAAAAAAGATTCTCAAAGATTGGATACCCGCATTAAGGTGCTTGCTTTCTTATCAAGAGGAGCCCTGGTGGCGTAGTGGTTATGAGTTGGGCTGCTAACTGGAAAGACAGAATTTCTAACCCACCAGCCACACCAACGGAGCTAGAGGGGGCTTTCTATTCCCGTCAAGAGTGACCGTCTCTGAAACTCAGAGGCACTTTTACCCTGTCCTATAGTGTCGCTATGAGTCCACATCGACTCGTTTTTGGTATGGTTCCGTATCAAATCAGAAACAATCATGTCACACATGCAGAGCACCTAACACAAATTCAAATCTTTACAGTTGAATATCCAATTAAGAAGCACAGTCTTACTTGTTCTCCGTCGATCTCTACTACCTCTTCTTGAATGACAATTAGCTGCACACTGGAACCAGATGTCATAGGCCACTCATGAACTAAAATCCTTACACTGACAATTCCAAGATAGCTTTTTTCCTCCATATTTTCATTCTTCACTGGAAAAAAAAAGCAGTGACAGCTCTGAACAGAAATTGCCACCATGTCTATTAGCAGTTTGATTTGACTGATGACATTTAAATGGAACAGGACAGTCTTACGACAGTTTTTGGGCTTTTTTCATCCCTGAACTCATCACTGTTTCTGATTTACAGAAACAAAGGTGATTTCACAAATCTGTGCAACTCATTTGCAAAGGGAAAAGTGCTTGATGGTCTCTCGACTTTGGAAGCAACACTACACTGTCAACAGCTTTCGTCCAACTTGTTCAGCTCGTGAGGGAGGAACCGACAGGACACAGCATGAAGGAGAACCCGAGGCAGAGTGGGTCGCCAACTTCAGCCAAGCAAACTCAATCACTCATTCACTCTCAAAATCCACTGAGAGAACGAGCACTGGGGTTTTCTCAATCTGCTCCTCCTTCAGTGAGAGCAGGAGCACAACAGAGGGAAAGCCCTTTAATTTATCCTGTTAATGAATAGTAGGGGAGGGCTGACACAAGCAACTATTAACCTACAGGTCGGTGAGTCAAGTCCACCCAGTGGGGCCTCAGAAGAAAGGCCTGGCGATCTGCTTCCTAAGGCCCTAGCCTTGAAAGCCCTCTGGCTCACGGTTCTGCTTTGCACAGTGGGTTGCCCTCAGTTGGAGTGTACTCCACAGCAATGCTTTGGTGTTTCAGGGGCAGGGCTAGCTTCCACGTGCTCCTCTTGAGGGTCTTGTTGACAGCTGCCGCCCCCATCCCACCCCAGTGGGGACAGTGTAAAGCAGCTGGGGTGGCTTTGCAGCCAATGACAACTCTACTATGGTTCAACGTGATAGGAAAAATGATAAAATGGCACAGTCCAACGAAACCAATGCAAAAGAACGTGTTGTTTCTGTCCCTCAGATGCTGACAATCCGAGGACTATTTGCTCCCCAGGAACCAAGATGCCCACTTTTAATGATAACCGGGCTGTTTCCATGGTGACACCATGCTCTGGGGTGATAGCTCAGCAGCAGCACAAGCTTCATGGAAAACAACACCCGCCCTCATGTTCACTCCAACGTTCCCTGCAGCATAAGCAGCTAGCGCACAGGGCCTCCGAGGGCTCTGAGCCCCTGGGATTCCCTTTCACTGTGTGTCCTCGGCGTCTGGGGATTGGATTCTATCCAACAAACAGTGACAGCTTCTAACTCTCGATTACAAGGAACTATATGTGACCTCCTCCCTGGGGGACGGACAACAGTAAAGTGGGTGAAGGGGGATGTTGGATAGGGCAAGATATGACAAAATAATAATGTATAAATTATCAAGGGCTCATGAGGGAGGGGGGAGGGGGGAGGGAGGGGAAAAATGAGGACCTAATGCCGGGGGCTTAAGTGGAGAGAAAATGTTTTGAGAATAATCAGGGCAATGAATGTACAAATATGCTCTACACAATTGATGTATGTATGGATCGTGTTAAGCGTTGTATGAGCCCCTAATAAAATGATTTAAAAAACCGCAAACAAACAAAAACGCTGACCTCTCACTTGCAAGCTTCTCTCTCTTGCTGGCAGTCTTTCTTGTTGGCTAGATGAAGCCAGAGGCTATGAGCTGCCCTCTACCCGAGAGACCTGTGCAGCGGATCTCCTCCGGGTGAGCACTAAGGTGTCTCCATTCCTGTGAGTAACCACCCAGAGTCAGAGGATCCAATCAACCCAGGCTTGGATTCCTGCACCCCAGCCACTATAAGCTCACAGAGAGTAACGTCCAAAGACGTGACGTTTTTGGCACATGTGTTGTGCTACAAGAGAACGAATTCCACTACCTAAGAAGGCCTTTCTAAAGGAATTAAGGAAAGACCTTGCGTTGTTGTGATCACGCCTCATGTTTTTGAAGGCTCCCGTAATTGGATCAGATGAGCATTTGTCCAGGCTCCCAAAGGAGCACACACTCAGTACAAAACCAGGCAGACCGGAAAGACCAAAAGCCCAGGAGCCAGGCTGCATTCCATATCAAATCCGCAGTGAGCACAATGCCAGGGGAATGATTCAGCCTGTAGGAGCCCTTCTTTACTAGCAGATTCATCAGCCGTAGACCAGCCCTCACACTGAGAACCACTGGTGAGTTTGCACAAAATCTACACACATCCACAGTGAAACCCCGAATCTGATGGGAGGCACCAGAAAGCTTAAAAGATGGCCAGTACTTTCGGGGCCAGCAAGGGGTCACCGTGTTGAGTTCCACATCCAATGTGTTTTTCCTTCGAAGGAGCTTGAGTTAGTTAATTGTGCCAACTTGGCCGATAATCACGTGGGGCTAAATGAAAGGTGGAGGGATAAATGGGTGGTGAGCCTCGCCTTGCTAGTTCTCGGGTCTCTTGTTTTGTGATGGTCGCACCAGAGTGCAGCTGCCTTAGCAGTTCCCTGCTTCTGCTTACAAGATTGACTTCCTACAAAATATCCCCAAGGAGAAGCCACATGGACCTATCCCGATGCAGCCCTGGGTGCTGGAGCAACCGTGTGGAGAGCCCTGCTAGTGCTGAGATGCTTATTCGTTCACTGACTCAGCTTTCCTCCTGCAGTCGGCGTCATTGCCTTTGTTTTGTGAGGTGGAGGACTTTGTGGACTGGTGTTGGGTAAATGGGTTAATGTTGGACTTGTGGGCTTGGGCAGCATTGGGCTGGGATGTTTTCATGATGCACACTTTCTTTACATAAAACTCTCTTATACATGAGTTGCTGTGAATTTGTTTCTCCAAAGTACCCAGACTAATACAGCGCTTGTCAGCCCCAAAGAGGGTGAAAAGCGGAGTCGGAAGTAATGATCCTGAGTAGGAAGCCATTATGGCCAGGCGGAGAAGCTACACACAGGTTTGGGCAGTCGGTGCAGCTGGGGGACACAGGGAAGGCAGTGCCAGGTCTTGGAAAGCAGGCAAGGATCCTATGTAGAGAATCCAACACTCACTCTGCCTGGTTAGTCAGGAAGGCGGGGCTGGGAAAAGGAGTTTAAATGTAATGAAGAGAAATGAAAGTTTTGCAGGTTGGTGATGCTGGGGAGGTTGGGGGTCACAAAGGAGAAGAGGTCCCGAAAAGCACCCCAAGCTTTTACTTGTTGTTGTTGGGTGCCACTGAGTCGCCTCCCCCCATGGTGACCCCACCACCACCGAACCAAACACACTGCACGGTCCTGTGCAGTCCTCACGGTCGTTCCTGGGCCTGAGCCATGGACCCCTCTCCTTGCAGCCTGTCCCCTTTTGCTGCCCTTCCATTTCCCTAGGAAACTATAAAGAGCCCGACCTGAGGAATACAGTGGGTGAGAAACAGACTGGAAGCCCCAGATTAACAAAACCTGTTACAGTAAATACCCTAAGAAAACCTACACAGATCACAGTGAAACTAAAAATCAAAGATAAAGGTAAAAACAACCTTATAAACATCCAGGAGAAAAAGTGATTCCTTATTTTCAAAGGAGCAAGAATAAAACTTGACCTTCAACAGAAATAGCAGAGGCAATGGACGGACTCTAGACGCGAGACAACAAAGAGGTGGTCGATGCTTCCATCCTCAGCAAAGAATCCCTCTACATGAAGGGCACTGCTAAACTTTCCCCACAACACAGCAAAAGGTCATTTAAAACAAATCATATGAAGGCACAGTAGGGTACTTCCAGAGAATCCATTGACAACCAACTTGCAGTATTAGAGGAATTCTTTAGGGAGAAGGAGAGTGACCTCAGAGGAGGGCCCTGATCTACAAGGAGGAATGAAGAGCAATGCACAAGGAAACCATGGGGGGACATACAGGAATGTCGGACTAAACAAGTCACTAGACATGTACACAAATCATTAGGGTAATAACGTCACCTGGGGCTTAACAACATGAAGAGTTAAATTGGCACGACAATAGTAACCCAAAGGGAATAGAGTTAAAATATTCTAAGGTTTCTGTCTTGTTTGGAAGAGATGAAAGTACTCATTTGTCTCAAGGGCAACTGCTAAATCAGTTGCTATTAAGTGGATTCTGACTCGTGGCAACTCCGTGTGCTACAGAACTGTTTCCTGAGGGTCCGAGGGCCAGCTCGGGAGGGTTTCCCACACAGACGGCGAGGGCTTTCTTCCACGGCACTCAGAGGAGCCTCCAGCCTCCCACCTTTAGGTTCTCGCCCCAGCCCGCCCAGCTTGCCCCACCAGGAACTCCAACCACAAAAAGAACAGTTAAATAATATCCAACCAACAAGATGGGGGAAGAGGGGTTATGTGAAAGAAAACCCCAAAACTAGGCAACAAGAGGGAGAGACTGGAATACAGAACAGGCGACACAAATATGAAACAGACCATTAAGGTGAGAGACTTAAATTCAAGTGATTTCAGTCATTTTCACTGATGTAAATAAATTCAAATCATAAGAGACAGATTGTGCATTTTAAACCAAGATAGCCTGATGCTTATAAGATGTCCCTTACACATAAAGACTCATTTTAAAAACAAATAAATACAAAAATGGAAAGAAAATTGCCAGAGAGACCATGCAGCAGCGCCTGTCATGAAGCTCATTGAGACCAAGCTATCTTGAAGGCAAGACTTATCAAGAGCGCTGGAGGGGAGATCAATTATAATGACATAAGAGTCAATATACCAGGAAGGCACAACAGCGTGTCTGTATTTAGTAATATAGCTTTAAAAATACCAAACAAAGACTCACTCTCTCGCTCACTCATTGACACACACTCACTGCCTCACTCAGTCACTCACTGTCTCAGCCACTCTCCCACTGTCTCACTCTCTCACTCACGGTCTCACTCACACTCACTGCCTCACTCACTGTCTCACTCACTCACTTTCTCACTCACTCACTGTCTCACTCTCACTCACTGCCTCACTCTTCCACTGTCTCACTCACTCACTGTTTCATTCTCACTCACTGCTTCACTTGCTCACTGCCTCACTCGCTGCCTCACTCACTCACCATCTCACTCTCACACTCACTGATTCTTCACTTGCTCACTGACTGACTTACTGTCTCACTCTCTCTCTCACTCACTCACTGTCTCACTCACTCACTGCCTCATTCTCACTCATTGCCTCACTCTCTCACTGCCTCTCTCACTCACTGCCTCACTCCCCCACTGTCTCACTCACTCTCTCACTGCCTCACTCACTGCCTCACTCACTCTCTCACTGCCTCACTCACTGCCTCACTCACTCACCATCTCACTCTCACACTCACTGATTCTTCACTTGCTCACTGACTGACTTACTGTCTCACTCTCTCACTCACTCACTGTCTCACTCACTCACTGCCTCATTCTCACTCATTGCCTCACTCTCTCACTGCCTCTCTCACTCACTGCCTCACTCTCCCACTGTCTCATTCACTCTCTCACTGCCTCACTCACTGCCTCACTCACTGTCTCACTCACTCACTGCCTCACTCTAAAAAAAAAAAAATACCAAACAAAAATTGAGAGAACCGCAAGGAGGCGAGGCAAAACTTCATGGTGGAGATTCCCACTTCAGTTCCACTCTCTAACACACGGGGGGTGCCACCGAGTGGGAAGCGCCTCTACAGCCAAGGGGTGAGGTGGTTTGGTTGTTGACCCCTTCAGTGACGGATTGAGCAAGTGGATTAAAAAAGAAGATTCTCAATTACATAAGCTACTGAACAGTACGACTAGCTTGACTTCACCAGCATCGAGAACACCATCTCAAAACAATGACAGTTTCTTCAGGGCTGCGTGGAAAGGAGCACTGACACGCTTAAGCGCAGGCTGAACCACAGAGCAAGCCTCACGTTCCCAAGGACTAGAATGAAAATGAGAAGTTCTCTGAGCAGAGCCGTAGCAGCAGCAAAAATGTCCAAATGTTTAGAAGTTAAGCCATATACTTCTACATGCAAAATGAGGGAGTATTACCACTGTGGGATTACAAGGAAAGTACCCCGTGAATCTAAATGTACAGGATTTTTTAAAAATGCATAGGCTATAAGTGCTTAGAAATTTACTACTGTACATGCTTATCTGAAAATGTGTAATCACACTTTATAACTATGTGTGTTCCGCATATTCGTCATTTCACTGAAATAAAATGGTATACTCCCACGTCACAGCGTTTTCTTTAGTTTATACAAGAACGGACCAAAGACGTTAAAAACAGTATATTTCCGATTATTTCCAATGTTATTTCGCTCTTGGCATTTCATTTATCTCCTCTACACTCATTCTTATATTCCTGTCTACCTACTGCAAATGCAATTCCATCTAACCTTAAGAAAAAAGCCCAGAATAACCAATGTACAGTAGGAATCGTTTTACATGCCTCAGTGTTATTATCTATTCTAGCCAGGATGCCCACTTTAAATCTGCAATGGAAATCTAGAACATCCCCAAACTATGCTGTACTAACTTATACCAGTCTTGTTAAAAACAGAACATGGAAAAGATTTAGCTGTACTCACCTATTAAAGTTTGACAGCTTATTCGGGTCACACCATTATTTACAGGTAAGTCATTTACATATACCTGTCCATGCTCATAGGTTATGTTAAGAACAACCTAAAAATAAAGCAGCATATGCATTAATTCCAGTGGCTTATAAATGATTACAAATTCAGTCAAAAGTACATTTTTCTAACTAAATTAGATGCATTGGTAAAAATGAAATTGGCTACATAATACTATGCTAAATGCAGTATTAAAAACATAATCAAAAGGAAACAAACCTGTTTTTTGGATACCTGCCTATCATCTGTCAAGGTAGTTATGTTAACTCTGATGCTGTCCTGCAAAAAACAAATATCATGTGTTACATTTCACAAGTGGAAAACGACAGGGTTTACATTTCCTCTCAGATCCATTCTGTCACTCGCTCAGCTCAAGCTCTGACACCGAGTCCATTCTGACACACAGCGAGCTGGCCTGCTAGAACAAGCAGAACTGTTCCAGAGGGTTTCCGAGACAGTCAATTGTTACAGGCGCACACACAGCCTCGCCTTCCTCCCACGGAGAGCCTGTGAGGCTTGAAGCGCTGACCTTGCAGTTAGCCGCCTAATACCTAACCCACAGTGCCACCAGGGCCATTATGCAAGGATAAGAAACTTTAAAAAGACCATCATTTCCATTTTAAAGCCCCTTTCATGCCCTTATTCACAATTCCAATGTTTGATCATCCACGTGTCTTCTCCATTTAATTGCAATGTATCATATAGTATGCAAATGAGTTAAAAAGAACAGATGAATACTGGGGTACCTGTGTGCTGTCAATTCTCACTCCTACCACCCTGTATGATGGAGCAGAACTGGCTCACAGGGAGGAGCCGACTGCCAGGCCCTTTCTCCCAGGGAACTGCTGGGTGGGTTCATAGAGCCAACTTTTCAGGCAGCAACCAAGCATTCTCCTTGTGCCAGGAGGGCTCCTCATGCACTCACTGCCCAGCCTGGGCCCCAGTCACCACCGCTTAGTACTTCTCTATATTGTCCTCTTGTCGCATTAGTTGCCCTCTCCTCTCTTGGGAGAGGGAGCACAAGAACGGATTGTGATGGCCTAACTCATCTTAGAGGCAATTTAACCCTGGGAGGGGTTAATGCTCTAAAAAATTGATGTGGGGGTGATTGGATAATTCCCCTTGATATGACTGAATGATCTGACTATCAAATTATTGGATATCTAAGTTATTTTCCAATAAAACTGTTGAAGACAAACACAAAGAAACATGACCAATGTCCATAGTTCTTGCTTTGATTTAGAGCCTAGGTTCCCAAACTTATTTGGCTTTTCAGGAAAATTAAAAGATCGCTTAGCATTTTCCTGGCAATGAAGACCTTTCGTACTGTAACCCATCAACCAGGATAGAGTGTGGGCTCTGCCTTGGTGGCCTCCCTGGCTCTTTCCAGCCCCCTCCAAGGAGTGGAGGGAAACACTGCTTTAGGGTTTCCCCACCTATGGACCCTTCGCTGGGCAGTGTTTAGTTTTATCAGTGACTGAACTTTATATAAGTGGAATTACATCATTTGCATTCTTCTAGAGCTGCTTTATTCAAAATTGCTGATGCATGCCAGCCACACTGCTCTGTGTGCTATGATCAGTTTAATGATCCATTCCACTACCAATGAACATTGGAATCTTTCTTCTAAACAACACGGCTGACTTTTTTTCCCTTCAAATCATTCTATGGGGCTCTTACACCTCTTCTGACAATCCATATATCAATTGTATCAAGCATACTTGCACATATGTTGCCATTATCATTTTCTAAACATTTCCTTTCTATTTGAGCCCTTGGTGTCAGCTCCTGTTTGCCCCTCCCTCCCCGGGTGCCCATTTTTGAGGGTGGCATTCAGTGTGCCTCTGAGGGAATGGATTTTGAGGACAAAGGTGCACTTGACCCAATCCATGGTAATCTCCTCTGCCTCGTACGCATGTGAAAGTTGGACATGGAATAAAGAAGACTGAAGCAAAGCAATGCATCTGAACTGTGGTGCTGGAGAAGAACACTGAAAGTGCCATGGACTTGCCAAAAGGGCAAACAAGTCTGTCTTGGAAGAAGCTCCTTAGAGGCGAGGGTAGTGAGCCTTCGTCTTACATACTTTGGACATGTTGGAAGGAGAGACCAGTCTCTGGAGAAGGAGATCCTGTTTGATAAATTATAGGGGCAGCCAGAAAGAAAGAGAGGAAGGTCCTCAAGGAGATGGATTGACACAGTGGCTGCAACAATGGGCAACACAGGAACACTTGTGAGGATGGGGCAGGACAGATCCGTGTTCTGTTGTGTCGTGCTTAAGGCCGCTATGGGTCAGATCTGACTCAACGGCACCTAACAACAACTACACGAGAATGGTCTAGAGATGCAAAGCTGGAGATTAATAAGGGCGACCAAAGAACAATCGCTGCATTGGAATTATGCAAGGACTGAAAGGACTGTGGACTGTCCAAAGAACACACACATCTGTCTGGGAGGAAGTACAGCCAGAACGCTCCTTGGAAGCAAGGGTGGTGAGACTTCATCTCACATCCTCTGGACACGTTATCAGGCGGAACCAGTCTCTAGAGAAGGACGTCACGCTTGGTAAAATAGAAGGTCCGTGAGAAAGAGGACGACCCTCAACTAGATGGACTGATCTACGGGCTGCAGTAACAGGCTCAAACACAGCAATCATTGTGGGGAATGGTGCAGGACTGGGCAATGTTTTGTTCTGTTGTACACTGGGTCACTGCGCATCAGAACTGACTCAATGGCGCCTAACATAACAAAGGAATGATCTAAAGCCACCACTCAAATATTTAAGATAAATGATGGGTTTTCTGTAGAAAGGAAAGCACTATTTGAAGTACTCACCACCGACCATATGAGTTATATCAATGCCTGACAGACACTGTTATCCCTGAATAAAACATTACTCTCAAATACACCTGCTTGCTTTCAACTATCTCATGAGCTGACATTTCACATTTACAATAGTAATGAAATCTACTGGCCGTTTTGCACATTTAATGAGTGTCTCGTAGTAACCAGGCCAAGGTGTGGGTAAGGGTAAAGCTGGCTATAATGGTTATGTGTCAGTTTGGCTGGGCCGATTCTCAGCGGTTTGGTAGTTATATAGCGATGTAGTCATCCTCCATTTTCACATAACAACCTGGTTTTTGGAACCTACCCGCGCCAATAAGTGACGAAAGAGCCTGCTCGGTCCTTGGGGTTGTATGCATATCTCTGACATTAAGAAAATTAACCAAATTTACCAAAATTAATATGTAAGTACACCTCTTGGTACTGGGGGACTATCCCCAGTATTTTACATATTTCTGCCAGAGAATGTGACGGAAGTCATTTTATGAAGGTGAGCTGTGTCCAGGGACGACTTATGGAATAGGATTCCCAACATGGAAGGTCTATGTTATGCAGTTAAGTGGACTGTGGTACACTTCCCAATTCCCATGCTCAAACTCAATGCATCGAGTCGATGACGACTCATAGCGACCCTCTAGGGCAGGAGAGAACTGTCCCTATGGGTTTTCAAGACTGGAACTCTTCATGGGAGTGGAAAGTCCCTTCTGCTGCTTAGGAATCTTTCACGCTAATGATTCCTCAGAACGAGCCCAGCTTTCCCCTGGGCCACCCTCATCAAAACAAACACTTTCATAACCAAATTATTTTCTGCTTTGAAATTTTTTGTTGCTACTATGTGTTTTCTTAATGAAAGGCATGCTGAAATCAAAAGCAAAAGCCTATTTCTGAAGTAATGTGGATTTTCATATAATTATGTGGGGCACAGCCATCCCAGGTGGACGCTGGTGGGAGGATTGGTGGAGTTGAGGCCTGTTTCTTCAGATTCACACAGCTGTATCGGTTTCCACCAGGTGGCAGTCCGTACTACAATTTGGATAGGAGCTGCCCTAAAGTAGGTGGGTCACACAAGGGTTACACAAACCAATACTCATTAAGTCATCAGGTTGGTGATTATATTGTTTTGTGTCCAAATGCCACATTAAAAAAAAAAATCTGGTTTTCAAACAAGAAACCATTACCTGCAGCCTTCTAACAACTTAGAGATAACTTTCTGGGGTAGTTGTATGATCTGGTGTCAATTTGAGAGGATTACGAGTGAAGGGGTAGAGTTTAGTGTGTCAATCGGATCATAGCCAATGCAGCCTCTATGTGGGCATGGCCTTCTCCTAAGAATTCTGGGAAATCCTGTATTCGTTCTTGGAGGCAGGAGACACCTCTCGCTCTCTCTCTCGCTCTCCTCACTTTCTTGGAGACTCTACTGACAAGGCTGACTTCCTGTGAGACATCCCTGAGAAGCCACATGGACCTACTCGGATGCAGCCCTGGGAACTGGAGGAGCCACATCGAGACCCCTGCCAATGCTGATGCTTCTACTGCCACTGACTTTATACCCACTGGTCTGTGATCTTCCTGCATTCAGCATCACTGAATGTGTTTCGTGTGTCTGAAGAGGGCTTTATAGATTGGTATGGGACATATGGGCTAATCCCAGACTTATTGACTTGATTTGGACTGGGTTGGAATGTTTTATAAATATTCAATTACTCTTGTATATAAACCTTTCTTATCCACATATAAGTGTCCATGAATTTGTTTCTCTAGTGTACCTGGACTAACACACCTTCAAATGATGTTGTACTAAGAACCTCTTTGATAGCTTCTGCAGTTCAGCCGTGATCATGTCCTACGTTGTCATTAATCTATCCCTCTCAAACATACTGCTCGCCTACTCGGATGCAGGGTTTGTTAAAAGGTAATTAGGTCAGGTGGCGTGGTGGGTTTCACAATGAGCTGCTGACTACAAAGTCACCATTTCAAACCCACCAGCTGTTCCAAGGGAGAAAGATAAGACTGTGTACTCTTAAAAAGATTTTAACGTCTCGGAAACCAAAAGGGGCAGTTCCATTCCATCCTACTGAGTTGCCACGATCTGGAATCAACTTAATGGCAGTGAGCTTTTAGAGTCTATTAGTTTCCAAAGAAAAACCAAGTTCAATTAAATTCTTTTTGGTCTTGCCAAAATGGTGAAGAGATATTACACTTGGTCTTAACCATAAGGCAGGGAAGCAATTGATTATCTTATTTTGGAAGGGAGTTTCACCCTTTACTGCTTCCGACCCAGGGTTCTGAGGCAGCTCCGACCTAGCGCCTGTCCTCAGCACGTCTGGCTTCATTGCAAGCTCAGGCTCATGAGTGAGGGTAGCATATATGTAGGAAGAAGGTGGCAGAACCGTGAAGTCTCTCCACCTGTTTTCAGTACTTTATTCAAATTCCTTTACTAATAGGATGTTCATCTGGGGTCCAGCTAGGTCCAAAACATAAAAGTGATATATAAACTCAATGCCCTCATGCTGATTCTGACTATAGCAACCCCAGAGCACAGACAGAGCAGAATGGCCCCAGAGGCTTACTAGGATGCAATCTTTATGGGGGCAGACTGCCCCATCTTTCTCCCACCTTTCACTCAGCAGCTAATCAACTCTTAGCCCCTGTGCCACCAGGGCTCCTAAAAGACATAAACACTTGGTTTAAAAGAAACTATCAATTTTGAATGAAATATACATTTACACATACAAGAAAGTAAGTTTCCTCTGGATGTCTCTACTTGGTGACTAAGTTATTTTAACATTAGAAGAATGTGCTTTAAAACACAGTACTGTGCAATCTTGTATAATCCCTCCCTACTTTTGTATAAACAAAACAGAGAGATGGGTATTCTCCAACATATCTGAGTCACTGAGGGCGGGGAGAATTTCCTGACTCCAACCACATAGACACCAAACTCAGTGCCATTGACTTGATTCCGACATGCAGCGAGCGGGCGACCCTACAGGGGAGGGGAGGGGAGGGCTGCCCCTGTGTCATTCTGAGACGGCAACTCTTTATGGGAGTAGAAAACCTCCTCTTTCCTTTGAGGAGCGCCTGGTGGATTCAGACTGCTGACCTTGTGGTTAGCAGCTCAACGAGTAACCTCTAGACCATCAGTTTTCTTAAAATTTAGATCTGATAGGACAGAGGATGGACAGATAATATGAGAAAGCTAGGGAAATCTGCATTCTAATCCAGATCTGCATGCGGAGCCCTGGTGATGCTGTCAGGCAAGCAGTGGACTGCTAACCACAAAACCACCAGCCTGTTCCTCCAGAGGAAGACGAGGCTTTCTGCTCCCCTAAAGATTTACAGTCTTGAAAACCCACAGGAGCAGCTCTACCCTGTCCTATAAGCTTGCTGAATCAGAATTTACTGTGTGGCAGTGAGGTTTTTGTTTAGGTCTGTACTCTCTTCCATCTGGTACCCATTAACCCAGTGGTTCTCACCCTTCCTAACGCCGCGACCCTTTCATACAGTTCATGTTGTGGTGACCCCCCCAACCATAAAATTATTTTCATTGCTACTTCATCACTGTCATTTTGCTGTTATGAATCGGGCGACCCCTGTGAAAGGGTCGTTCGACCCCCAAAGGGGTGATGACCCATAGGTTGATAACCACTACATGAACCAAAGAGAAGCAGCCTGGTGGCATAGTGGGTTATGCATTAGGCTGCTAACCTCCAAATTCAGAAATTCGAAACCACCTGCAGCTTTTCTGAAAGATGAAGCTTTCAACTCCCAGAAAGATTTAGTCTCAGAAATCCACAAGGGCAGTTACTCTGTTCTACTAGGCCACTTTGAATCAGAATAAACTCAATGGCAGTGTGTTTCGTTTGGTGTAACCAAAGGTGGCAATTTAAATTTCAATGAAGCAGAGTTTAAAAACTAATTTTCTCCACCAGACTGCCCACATTTCTCATGTCTAATTGCTACAGGACTCTAGAAAACTATTGTAATCGCGGGCAGAGCAGGAATAGAACCATGACCGCAGAGAGTGCCCGTGGGCAGCACTTATCTCACTTGAGTGAGCTCTGTCCAATGCTGTCTCGTCTGTGCATTGGGAAGTGTTCCCAGTATAAAATGGGGGGGGGGGGTAATTCATCAGGCAGATTAAGCTTCTCATACATACATTTCCAAGCAATAAAATCTGCTCAGCATTCATTTAGCCTATGACACTCTGAGTTAAGAGCAAAAGTGGAATGAAAGCACAAGGAGGGGGGGAATGAAATGATGAAATCGGGGAGCCCACTGTGGAGTGTATTTTAAGCCTGAAGTGGAAAGGAGCTTTTTCAGGTTCTCTGGGCAGACTCCGGGTGTCATAGACGACTAAGATGAATCTTTAAAATTTGGAAAAGGGGGGCCGTGTGCACACTTACTTCCAGTACTTCGAAAACGGTTTCCTTTTTCTTTGTATTCTTACTGCTTATTCATGGAAATCAGACTTTTGACCAGTGGCAACTGTGGCTCACACACGATTTCGGCTACTAGTGGTTCTTCTGTAGGTGGTGTGCCTGGTGTCATTTCAGGAAAGCAGACCAGAAACTGACCATGACTTGCGTTCCCTCAGTCGGAGGGTGATGGCAGACCGCTCAAACAGTTCAAGTACAAAAGTGACATTTATGATGTCAGCCACACCTGTTCCGGGAGCCTGGTGGCATAATGGACTCCTCACAGGGCTGCTAACCATAAGGTCAGCAGGTCAAATCCATCAGCGGCAGCACAGGAGAAAAATGAGGCTGTCTGCTCCCCTAAGTATTGGCAGCCTTGAAAACCCAATGGGGCATTTAGTTTTTCTCCGTCCTATTAGGTAGCTGGGGAGAGAGACGAGGCTTTCTACTCCGGTAAGGGTTACAGTCTGGGAAAGTCACGGGGGCAGTTCTACCTTGTCCTATAGGGTAGCTTATGTGTTGGCGTCCACTCGATGGCAGTTGAGTTTGGTATTTGGTAGCGTTGATGGCAATGGGATCAGTCACACCTGTATTTCGAGTACTCAAGCCTTCACTTAACAGAAAGTTGTTGAACTTTTATCGGTTTTTCTGCTGTGATTTTTCTGAATCCTGGGAAACTCGCGGTTTAAAGCCTTCCACATTCCCGCTGGCACAAGCAAACACTGGCAGAAGTCAGCAGGTCTGCGCGGCCCCGAGCCTTTAACACTACGCGCGGGCAATGGCTCTCCCGGACACCGGCCGGCGTCACACTCGCCCGCTGGGCTGGTTCCCCCCGACAGCAGGTTCCCCGGCGGCGCGGATGCCGCGAGGCCCCGCCCCGCCCCCGCGTGGAGAGTGTCGCTTTCCGAACATCCGCCGGGAACGCGGTCGCGCGCGCCGTCAGGGCTTCCAGCCGCGCACTCGGCGCGCCCCAGCCGGGCCCACAGCGCCGCCGGCGGGGGGCGTCCTGCCCGAGCCGCGCCGGCCGTCGGCAGGTGGCCTGGACGCGCTCTCTCGCTCGGAGCCACTTCCCCGTTTCCCAGCCCCGACACCCTGCCCGGCCCGAGCGAGCGCCAGGCTCTGCCCCGGGAAGGCGCCATGACGAACGGCGGCCGCTCCCGCGCGTCCGACGATCGCAGCCCGTCCGAACGCGCGTCAGGCCGGGCTCCTCACGAGTCCCAGTTTCGCTGCACCAGGCGGAGCGGCTCACGAAAGCGCCCTCGCGGTCCTTGCCCTCCCGGCTCTCCGACCCCGGACCCCGGCCTCACTGCCCTAAGAGCTTTCCCGACTCCTCCTTTTGGGGGCCAGGAGCCCAGCGCTCCCCGGCCGGCCTGGAGGGGGAGGTGACGTTGGAGACGCCTTAGTTCCACGGTCCCTGGCCGGGCCTCTCGGAGGTCCTGAGCCGGCTCGGGGACAGCCCTGCCGCGCCGCCGGCCCTACCTGCGGGGCTCGGGACGGAGGCCCCGGGGCGCCCGTTGTCAGCCACCCAGCGGTCGGCAGGGCCAGGAGCAGGAGCAGCCGGAGGGCAGACGACGCCGAGGAAGCGGCCTCCATCTTGGACACCCCGGCGACGGTGGGCGGTGGGGGCGGAGCCTGCCCGTGGGGCGGGGCGAGGGCCCTGTGGGCGGGGTCTGGGCGAGGGGCGGGGCCGACGCGCGCTGAAGGGCCCCGTTGCGCTTCAGGTCTTGGGCAAGGACTCCTGGGGCAGTCCTATCAGAGAAGACGGGACTTTATCATTAAATTACTGTTCTTTCCTGACTGTTGTATAAGAAATAGTATATACTGTAAATACAACTGTGTATGTCCCTGTGTGTGTATGGAGTCCTGGTAATGCAACAGGTTAGCCGCGCAACAGGTTAGCCTCGGCTAACCGATAGAGGGGTTATTCAAACGAAGCAAGACCCTTGATTCTGATCACCAAACCAAAACAAAGCAAACAAACACTGCCATCAAGTCGATGCTGACTCAGCGACCCAGTAGGACAGGGTAGAAATGTCCTTGTAAGTATCCAAGACTAACTGTTTGCAGGAGGAGAAAGCAGCTGCTTTCTCCCACACAGCAACTGGTCGTTTCGAACAACATGGGTACGATTTTCATACATGTATGAAAATGATATTGCAAAACATTAAAAACAAGATGTCACCTATAGAAAGGGTGTTTTTTATTAAACCGGGAGTTCCCAACCTCAGGGGTGCGCAGGGAATCCACTGGACCGCTTTAGAAGTGATGCTGGGGGATTTCGGATTTGACTGGGCTGAGGCTTGGTAGCTTTTAAAGATTTCCAGGTGATTTTATTGTGCAGCCAAAAGGCTACGATCAGCCATGCATGCAACCTTCGGAGCCACTGGATGTGATAGTGTGGGGACAACCGCTCAACTGGAAGCTCGTAGACAGGGGCCCGGGCCTTGATAATCAGATTCTTTATAAACATGAAAGATGTATTTTTAATGTTACGAACCCCCCTAAGGTAGAGAACGCCGAGAAATTTGGACATTTCAGATGAACAAGATTAGATAATTGACTGAGATGGATTTTTGGGATAGGACAGGCGAAACATCAGACTTGCAAGGTTGGGAGTTCAAATTCACCAACCACTCAAGCAGAGAGAGAGAGGAGGCCATCTGTTCAGGTAAAGATTTTGTCTGGAAAAAAAACCCTATGGGGCAGTTCTGTTCTGTCCTATAGAGTAGCTATGAGTTGGGACGGACTTGATAGCAATGGGTCTGGTTTGGTTTGTTTTGGTTTTAGTTCAAGTCTTTCTTTGAAATGAAATTTTGACATGAAAAGGAATCACATTCCTATTTCTGTGCTTCAGGTCTAGGAGCTCTGGTGGTGTAGTGGGCAACGAGTTGGGCAGCAGATTGAATACCATCTGCCACTCCGTAGGTGAGCGATGAGGCTTTTGTACTCTTGTAAAGAGCTACCGTCTCAGAAACCACAGGGCGACTTTGTCCTATAGGGTTGCTGTGAATTAGAATCAACTGGATGAGTTGTTTTGTTTAAGGTGACCAGACGTCCCGCTTTTTGGAAAGAATGCACGACAAGCTAGGGAATGGTCTATTTGGTCCATATAGACCAATTTTTTAAACAAGAACCCCACACCCCACCCCTCGGTCAATGGTGTCCCGCTTTAAATCTGGTCACCTTAGTTTTGTTTTCTTTGTTTGAGTGTTTAAGCCCCTCTTCTTTCTTCCTCTCTTCCTCACTCCATGCCTCCGTGTTTTTTTTCACTAAAAAAAACTACTGGTGGTGCCGACTGGTGAGTGCTCAGCTCAGTTCAAATCCACTGTGATTAGGTAGGTTTATTGTGCCAACCTGGCCAATAAACACATGTGGGATTAATAAGGTTGCAGTTTAATTGAAGGGCAAAGAGATAAATGGATAGGGGAGCCTCACATTTCTGTCTCATGCTTTCTGATGATAGGACCAGTGTGTGGCTGCCTCAACCTGCAAGCTATACTACCTGTGGGACACCCAACCCATGGACCATGTCACTATAGTTTGAGGTTCCTTCGAGACCTGCTTCACCACACTGCTGGTGTATATACATCACTGAGCTGGGGACTGTCAGACCCTGTCATCTGGCTGACTGTTAGTGACCTGCCCTGCTGCTTGCTGCCTATGGCCAGACTGCCTGTATTGCTCTACAGAAGACTCAGCTGTCTGCTTCCGTGACTTGCACCCAGCAGCCCTCGTGAGTTAAAGGACTGCCAGTGTATTAACTGTCTCACAGAAGTGAGTTGAACTGAACCCTCTGTGGACTAATTAGCTGTTTATTTCCTCATGTTGTATATATCTCTATATATTCATAAGTGTGCTGATTTTGTTTCTCTAGAGAACCCTGGCTAACACACCCACCCAGACTCGCCTTGGAAGAGAGGCCTGGCGATTGGCTTCTGAAAGGTCACAGCTTTGAAGACCTCAGACTAGTTCTACTCTGCACACATAGGGTGATTGTGAGCCCGAATCCAACTCTTCACCAACCTGCAACAGCGCTGACAACAAACTCCAGAAGGATGGGCCCAAATTTCACTCACTCAACTAATAATCACCCCTTGCCTGCTCTGAAACAGCGAGCACCATGACTGGGGGTTTCTGAGGTGAACTCCTGCTCCTGGGTTCCATCTGCAGCTACGGACCTCCTCAGTTCTTCAGACCTCTGGAGCTCACAACCAAAGTGGGAAGTGAGAGAACATGTCATGCAGGGGTCAGTGGAATTTGAATTAGTAACAGGAAGTCCTCGTGGCTCTTTAGGGTGAACGTTGGACTGCTAACCACAGCACTTAGAACCTACGTTATGTGGTGCTCTGGGAAAGGTGAGGCTTTCAAACTCCTGTAAGGATTTGTAGCCTGGAAACCCACAGGGGACAGTTCTACTCTGTCCATAGGTTGTTATGAATCAGAGCTGACTCCTGGACAGGGAGCGTGGCTTTTTGCCTCCCAGTCGTCAAGATTCCAAAGTGAGTGTTTATGACAAGATGAGATCATCTATTTTTTCCCACAGAGCCTTTCCCCTACCCCAGCCAGCATCATCCTTTCATTTTCTGTCTCCTCAACCAGATGCAAACTCCAGGAGCCCGGAGGCCAAACTGCTCCAGGAAGCTAGGCATCAAGTCCAAAGCCATCAACAGATATGACTGGAGTGGGCTTTCAGTATACTTGTTGAATCAGTATCTTCTTGGATCAACAATCAAAGGCCAAGCAAGCAACAGTGAAGCAGTCAAAGGACATACTGCGCTGGGCAAATCTGCTGCACAAGTCCCCTGTAAAGTGTGAAAAAGCACTATGGTGCACTTGACCTGGGCCATGGTGGTCGCTGTTGTTTCCCAGTCACCTCACGTACATTCAAAAGCTGGACAAGGAAAGGGGAAGGCAGAGCATGAAGGGAGACAATGGACAGTGCAAGACAGGAAATAATAATATATAATTGATCTAAGATGCATGGTGTGTGTGTGTGTGTAAAGGAGCTGGTACCAAGGGCTCAAATAGAAAGTGTTTTGGAAATGATGGCAACACATGGACAAGTGTGCTTAATATAATGGAAGGCTGGATTGTCATAAGATTTGTAGGAGTCCCCCGCCCCACCAAAAAAAATTAATTGAAAAAAAAAAAGGGGGAAGGTTAAGAATGGATGCATTTCATTATGGTTTTGCAAAAATAATGTGGGGGCTATATCTGATCTCCTCTGGCTTCCTCATTTGCCACAAATCAGAAGCCAGACATGCCTAGCCCTCCGTCTTCCATGTGACACTAACCATTCCTCCCAGGGCACGCACCTTCCATGCTGGGCTTGATCATTTTCATTGCAAGTGCCCCGCAGAACTTACAGAATACTCACTACTAAGGGGGCTTAGTAGGGAAGTTTACAGGTTACCACAATTCAGGAGCAGTAAACAGTAAGGAGACTCATTGGTCTACCAGCAGTGCCTCTTCTCAGTCAGCAGCCAGGTCTCTCGCCAGCCCTCTGCCTCTCAGCATGTGGCCCCTTGGCTTCTTCCTGCGTGGGCAGGACGCTAGCCTCCTGTTCTTCCTCCTGGTCTCAGCACTGCTTCTTCTGTTCTGTCTCATGGTCTCCAGGCTGTGGCCTCCGGTGCCTCTGGACCATTAGTGTCCTCCATTAGTGGCTGTCCTCCTGCTGGTCCAGGATTTCTCTGTGCTCCTGCTTCTGAGAGGGCTCATTCTTTTTTTTTAGGTACTGGCATTGTCACATTTCACAAAAGAATAAGATGAGGCACAGGAATCATTAATTCAATGAATACATGCATATATTAGAGAATATGTGTAGAATATGCAGTGCCTACTATGCTAATCATTGCAATAATGCCGTGTCCTATATCCTGCATGCCCACTCATTGTACCATCTTTTTAAAAAAAATCATTTTATTAGGGGCTCATACAACTCCCATCACAATCCATACACACATCAACTGTGCAAAGCACATTTGTACATTCATTGCTCTCATCATTCCCGAAACATACGCTTTCCACATAAGCCCCTGGCATCAGCTGCTCATTTTCCCCCTCCCTCCCCGCTGCCCGCTTCCTCATAAATCCTTGATAATTTATAAATTATTTTGTCATATCTTGCCCTTTCCAACGTCTCCCTTCATCCACTTTTCTGTTGTCCGTCCCCCAGGGAGGAAGTCACATGTAGATCCTTGTCATCAGTTCCCCCTTTCCAACCCACCCTCCATCTACTCTCCCAGTATCACCATTCACACCACTGGTCCTGAAGGGATCATCTGCCGTGGATTCCCTGCGTTTCCAGTTCCTGTCTACCAATGTACATCCTCTGATCTAGCCATATTTGTAAGGTAGAATTGGGATCATGATAGTGGGGTAGGAGGAAGCATTGAGGAACTAGAGGAAAGTTGTATGTTTCATCATTGCTACATTGCACCCTGACTGGCTCGTCTCCTCCCCG